TTCCAGCAGCAACAAACATCACCAAAACCATCCATCGAGCAACAAAAAACAGCACCAAACGCAGCCACAAAACAAAGTAACATGACTGCAGGATCTGGACACAACAATTGATGCACCACAAATAATGATGGAATCTTCCAAAAAAGGATTCCATGACATAGCAAAAAGGGTGCCATCAAGAATCATCAACCAGCACACATGACATCCAAAGGACAGAGAGACGGAATGGGCAAAGGGATTCAAGGTCTTCTAAATGAAGAAGAATCATCCCAAAAGCAAAACCAAACGAGGAAAACACCACCCAGTAGTCCATGAGCAAACAACCAGAAGCCAAGACCCCCAACACTTCAGAAACCAAGAACAGGATCTACAGGATCAGAACAGCATTTCCATCAGCATTAAGGCGGTTCAAAGATCGAATCTGGGAGGGACCATTGCTTTTGGATCCATAAATTAGGGAGGGTTTTCCCCACCCCTGTATGCAAACTTAGCTTCTACCTGATGCAGTCAACAATGTCTTTGTAAATAGTAGTGGCATCCTTAAAAGAATTTCTAAAGGTTCTCTGGTTTCTCTCCATCCAAACCTTATAAACAAAGGTGGACAACAACAATCTCCCAATCAAACTACTCAGCTTTTTTCCCATCATGTTCCTTGCAAACCATTGAACAAAATCTTTCCACGCATTACCTGGCCATTGGACGTTACGCTTAATTTGAAGTGACATCCATAATCATAATCCAAAAGCTTATCTTGCGTTGGTAATCTTTCCTGCATAGCAAGCCACAGAATAAAGCTAAATCTTGAAACAGCACTAGGAAACCAAACAATCTTGGCCCAAAACACAAAAGCAATAGTGGGAAATCCTCAGAAGTAATAGGTTTGTTGCTTTGACCTAAATTGTATATCATAGAAAGATAAAGGTATCCTTGTCTCTCGGGGAATAGTGAGAAGTATTTCGAGTATTGCAACTGATGGTGCTCGAAAATAATAACCCAGGTTCAGAATCGTGGTTGTTTGATTCGGTGAGGGAATAAGACAGATATTCAAATTAATAACAGAGAAAACTATGAAAGAAAAATGGAGGCACAATATACATGGTTCACCCTAGTTGAAAAACTAAGTCTACGTTAAGGGAGTCTCTTACTCCTTGAGGTGTATATTGTTTTCTTGAAGAGGATGGGTTACAATAGTTCATTCAATTCAGAGTTTTTACAAGATAATGCTTGTTGGAATAAAAGTTGTTGCTATGTAAACGATGTGGTAGATGATCCTCTTTCCTACTGGATAATAGTGTCCTATTTATACAAGTAATTCTTCTAGGGTTTCCTGTAGCCTCTCCCTCTCTTGTTGATTCTATGAGCCCTTTTATTTTTGTCTTGTAGTGACCTCTGTCATATGACGCTACTGCACCAACCCTTGAACAGTTACGTGCACCAACATTCTCTGTGGCAGAAAGTGAGTTTGCATGTTCAACGTGGGTTTCATAAATGATCTTCTTGTCCTCTAGACACATGGCGCGATGGAAGTGATTCAAGGTCAACAGGGAGACCAAGCTTCTTGACTCCGAACTGACCTCCTTCCAGGCTTTGCCGAAGCTAAATTGGGCTGGCTTCTAGTTCTTTGGGCGTCGTTGGGCTTTTCCACTCTGTGGCCCATTTTGCTTCTTGGACAAACAGGTGGGCTGTTTGGGTTGTTATGCAAACAAGGACTTTCTAAGCAGATTGGACTTTTAGATCGAGCGGCCCATATCCAAAATTCCATCATTATCAACAGCATTTTCCTTGAATACCGCTCGGAAATACTTGGTACAGTTTATTGCATGCATGTAATGGCTAAGGATGTTTGGATTGCCAAATTTCAATTTCTCAAAATGATTAAACAACTGAACTTAGATGATGAAAGTTCTTAAAACTTTGCGATACAAACAATATTCTTCAACTACTGCTGATGAGTTTATTCAATACTCCAACTGAAGCAGAAATAATTTGGCGATGTAGGCGTACAACTTGCTAAAATATTATGGCCGAGAGTAATTGTCAAGTCCTTTTTTTTAAATTCAACGGTCAAGAGTGTTCAGACCAGTTTATGCATACGTGGTTAAAAACAAGTCATCTACGCCAGAATTAAGATATTCATTACGGATTTATCTTTAAAGACCTGGCCCCAATACTTGGAACTTCTTCAGGATAGTGAAATTCATTTTTGATTTGTTTTTCTTAATTACCAAAGACCATCCCGACCACTGACTTTGCTTGACTCCTACTTGTTAAGTAAAGTTGGGATGGACGTAATCATTCAAAAACCACACACATTGGGTTAACGAGGGTGTCCCTTGTGAGATTCGAACGTGAATCTTGAAGTATAAGACACTAAAGCCCTACCATCCGAGTTATCTTGGTGGGTTCATTCTTGTATATTTCACTAATATGGAATCGGAAAATAGTATTTTTTTTCTTTTCATGGTAAGTATGAGCATTGCCATCTGAATGCCTCACAGCCCACTCCCTGAGATTATGTGACAAAGCAACCAAATTGCCTTTGAAGATATCTTGGAAAGTTCTCTCCATAGAACAAGATCCAATAATATTCGCGAAGCAACTGTGTATAGAACTTGTGTATCTTTATTTGTCTTCTATATCACATCATAGAGTTTATGGCCCTTGTCCTCATGCAATTGGCTCTTGTTCTATGTCCACCTTGCTTTTGTGTAAACTCCTTCCCCTCTCTCTCTCTCTCTCTCTCTCTCATACACACCCCATAATACGCAGACGGACAAATCAATCAGAAGGTTAGTTACAAGGTGTCTAATCTTTTGTAGTACCACACAAATGTGGCCATTTGTACACCTAGACCCACTGGATATGAAAGATCAAAGAGAAAATATTCAATATAACGGTGATAATATGTGAAATTGATGATATAATATCACTAATCAATAATAAAATTTTAAATGGACAAAGTGAATTTCATATGAGTAGTCATTGACTTATATGAAAGAAGAGTTATTAGTTATTAACTTACATAAATAGGTAGTTATTAACTTACAATGAAAGAAGAGTTAATAGTTATTGATTTATATAGTCAAATAGTTATTTGCTTATATATGATCTATTTTCTTATTTGTTTATATATTATTAGTTGGTGATATCATGTCATCAATACTGACGTGGCATCACCGTTGCATTGAATAATTTTTTGAAGATCAAGAATCTCCAAGGTGGTTGTGATGAAGTTGACTCCAAGGTGGTTGTGATGAAGTTGTCACTAATTTAGATCATGAGCAATGCTATTGAGATCTAATTTATTAATCTAATTTGTTGACTTAATTCACTATAATTTTCGATTGATTGTGAACCCCATTAAGTATTGAAATTTCGTGTTAATTCAATAGTTTTAATAAAACTACATTATTAAGTAAAAAAATTAGGTCAAATTTTAAAATCGAAATAGCATTACTCTTTAGATCATACATAAGGTCCAAGTGGTAGAATGCTAGAAAATGGTGGAAAGAGAAAATTTTGAATTTTTTGAGAATTTGATTAGGCAAAATAAATAGGATAAACATTTTATTGCATTTGATGAATTTCCCCCATATGTACGTAACTTTTTTCTTGCCAAAAAAAAAACACAAGAAAGTTGGAAATTTCCCTATGAAAGTGTTTTGTATATTTTGAATTGCCCATTTATCCTTTTCTCTTTTCTCTGTAATTTTTAGTTTTGAATTATACAAGTTCTATAATTATACACCTTTTTTCATAATTTGCTTAATCAAAAGAACATAGTAAGGGACCTTCACGGCTTGATAACCATGTGTTACAAGTCGCAGAAATTCTTGAAAAATAGATGACATATAGCCAAACATTTTCTATTATCATTTTCCCTTCTTTTATTTCGATTCACTTTCAATTCTCATCTATTTCTTCTTATTCAAATGGACTTGGGTAATTGGATTTTGCCAAGAAACTGTTGGTAAGATCCGAATCACAACATGAAAGGAGAGTTCAATGGGCTGGTTGAACAGTGTGGATTAGACATTAGCCTGGTAACGAACTCAAGTAGCATATTTATTTTTTTTCTTTGGATATTTAGGTCTACTCGATTTGTTCTTCGACCCAGAAGACTCAACACATCTACCCTTGACATGCTTTTCAGTTGGGCACACGTTATGCTAGATTTTACGTAAGACTATTAGGTGATCATAACATTACTTTAAAAAACGTGTCGAACACAATCGACTCAACTGGTCAAACTCGATATAAACTTGACTATACATAACTATGGATAAATCTTAGTCCTAGTCAACTGTGGTTGAATCAAAAACGTCCAAATTACACGATAACCACGCAAAAGCTCTTCACTTAACATTCATTTGCGTGTCTAGATTCTCTCTAGTACACTTATTCTCAAATTCTCTCAATTGCCACCCATCAAGGAAGAGAGCATCATTCTCAATCGCATCAAAAACTTGGCGTCACAGTTCATGAAACTACCGTCACTTTGGTAACCGGAAAACAGTTAAATATCCACAATCTTTTGAACCAAAATTGCATGTTACAAAACTAGAGCCATCTTAGAGGGAATTTGTTTTTTTTTTTTTTTGTTTTTTTGTTTGGGGGGGAATTATAAGGAAAAGAAAGTGCAAGTTATGAGTTCCTACATCCACCTAAAAAAAGCACACAAAAACCATAATCTACCCTGTTAGCAATAATGGCTGGCATGGCTCCAATAATCCGAACAAGAAATGTTAATGCCGATGATGACATCAAGTTACTAACCCAAATCTGAAATCGATTATAGTGTTTTCAAGCAACTAAAACAATCCTAATGATAGGTCTTGCCGCGGACAGTCACAGTCGTACAAGACTGCAAGTTCCTACGGAGCCTAGCGCTTGTAAGATCAATAGAGGATGGAAAGGCATGGCGCCTCGTTAAGTGTTTATCAACTAAATTCCCCATATATGAACTTGCTAGATCGATATGTGGAAATAAGCAATAGGACCATATAAACATAGCTATATATTGACAATTAATAGGATCAGAGCAATGTGGATATCAAATGCTCTCAGCCCACAAATGGTGAGGGAGAGATTTAAACAGGAAGAGTTGCATATAGGTGAAATAACAAGAACGATTATCTTCTTCACTATTAAACGGCATTCATTTTGCCCCAAAGCTGGAAAAGGAAAAATTCTGCACACTTAAAACCAAGAAGATATTTTCCATGTTACCTAAATGCTCCTGTTAGAACGAGATGAACTGTTACCAGTACCACTTGGATTGGAATTATCTTTCCTCACCATGGCCTCCAGACTCTGAAAGCATTTCAACGGTCCAACCTGTACATATCAACATAAATCTAAATGAGATACGAAACCATTCAGCACAATAAAAGTGGACATACAAGTAGGATGAATGCAAGTCCAAGGACCACCATGTTAAAACTACACAAATGATTCCACAGAAACTATAGAACCAGGTAGCCTAAGGACCATCAGATTATAGCAATGCACTTAGTTTCCAAAGGGCAATAAAACCAGTTCACAAATTTATCAAAACAATTTACTAATTCTAGTACTCAACAAAACATGACAGTGACCCTTAAGGCCAATTTGATGATTCTTAATGCACCCAACAATTCTTCTAGGGTTATTTGCCTAGCTCTTAAAGACCAAAATTAGGAATTAAGTATTTCTTTCAGTGCAAGTTATAAGCTACGTCAATCAACCAGCCGTTCAACCGTTCAGTTTCCATAGCATTTTTTTGGTTATTCACATAAACATGTGTTGAAACTAATAGAAAAGCCCTCGGCATCATTCAATGTTGCAAACAAGGAGATGTAATTCCTTTCTGGTAAAGAAGTTCATAACAAACAAGCCATCGCATAAGCACACCGAGAGAAAGAAAGAAAGAAAGAAAGACACCAACCTTCCATCGCCTCTTGTGACCAAGACTGTTGTAGATGGACTCCAACCTGGGGATGACCTGCCTAAATGTGGGTCTCTTGGCTGGCTTCGCATTCCAACATTCTTCAATCAGCCTGCAAGAAAAAGATACAATCAAGACTTACTTTCATGAACAGATTGCCATGACATATTCATTAACTGATGACCTAAGACCAGAATAATGAGATTTTCAACGAAAATATTTAATTTTCATTGATAAGTTAAATCATTCATTGCAGAAAACTACATTTATTTCTTCGCTAAAGCCTAGTAAAACGCCCAAAGGCTATGTTTGGCCAACCAGAACTCAGTAGTCAGTACGCTAGAGGAAACAAAGCCAGAATAGAATTAAGAAGCAAGGACAATCTTACCAATCAAAAACAAAGAAAATGCTAATTGCCTTAAGTAAAAGCCGCAATCCACCAAGAGAACATTTAAAAAGAAATGCAGCAACAAGCATTCTTTATCATTCTTAACATCCATTATCAATCAAGTCAAGTTGTTTAGTGCTTCAGTTAATTATTAGCATCAAAACCAGAACATTACAAATAATACAAAGAAATGTACCAAAGGCTTTATAAAGCTAAGACAATAAAAAAGTAAAATATCACATAATGTATCATAGGCAAAAGAAGGAATCTAATGTAAAACCACAGAACAAATTGGTTCAAAGAGTAGAAAGCATACTCTTTAAGTCCATGAGCATAACACTTAGCTGAAGCTCTGAAAGGAGGCCGCTCATTTGCAATGTATGACTTAGGGACTTCATTTTCTTGCTTTGTGGAAAATGGGGGACAGCCTTCAATCATCTAGAGTACAGCACAGCACAATTATCAATTTGTCAAAGCACATTATGAGTCTTAGACCATCTTATGATATAGATCCGCACAAACTCTCTAAAAAATCAGTATTATATTACTCTGCAATCAGCAAATATTGGGGCTTTTTTTTTTTGGGGGGGGGGGGGGGGTGGGGGAAGGGAATCTATCGGAGGCATTAGACATGTTCACTACGGCCAAAACAATGAGTTGAAACTTAGGATGAGAAACCATTACCTCTTGTAAAATTAAAGCAAATGAAAAAACATCCACTTTGGTATCGTACTCTTCATTTCTAAAGACCTCTGGAGCCATATATCGGCCTGCCCATGGAAACAAAAGAAGAACCACCAACAATCAAAATATCAGCATCTAGCATGCTAACTGACAAAAAATCCAAATGCACTGAATTCCTGATGAAGATAAAGGATGATTCCGAAAAATCAACTATCCCTCTGGACTCGAACAATGTTATTGCTGCTATATCAGAAATAATAACCATATACCTTACCAAAATACAAAATGATAACCACGTAAATGCACAAGTCACAATCACAAGCATGATTTCACGAATGAGAAATAATACATGAACTACAATAGAAGCATACTCACAAGAAGTGTCATGATAGGTAAAAGGCCTATCTTCTTTCAGTTTGTTGGCGACTTTTAGTAGCTTGCTAACTCCGAAGTCTGCAACTTTGAGATGCCCAGAATCATCCCGCAAAATATTTCTGTTTATATTTACATGTGACGTAAGCATAAGAAAGTGTCTCACATAATCAGACATATATAGAAACAAGGAAAACAAAGGAATTTGCTGAACCTAAATGCTAGCATGTAAATGTGTAAGCAACACATGAAAGCTAATGTGTCTATAAATCATGGATTCAATAGAGATATAGGATACTGACATGACACCATACTAAGACGGAAATATAACAAATCTCAAAAACTAGTATGTGGATATAGACAGGATATGTCTACTCTTAAAACATATTTTTTCATATGTTGGATAAATTCCCCAACGATAATCTCATAATGAAGTAATCTTTTGTGCAAGTAACAAAGCATAGATGATCCACCTTAGAGCAACAAATGGCTAAATAAAAAGAAACCAGCTTCTAACTAGTTGTTTTACATAAAAATAGCCTTTGCCTAGAGAGGGATTCGAATCAGCCCCTTTCATGTCCCTTTGACATGTGGCTGCAGATTATGCTTCAAAAAAAACCACGATGCAGTTGCTGGAGGCAAACAAAAGAGCAAGCAACCCTGTCAACTCAAATGTTGCTCTACTATCTGCCTTTGCATCTTCCTTCTCAACACTCCTCTCTCCGACAGTCAAAGTCAATTACTTCAATGGTCTGATAATAAGCAGTGGAAGTGAAGAGAGAAAGAAATGGTGTTAGCTTTCAATGAGTTAGGTAGTCCTTTCATTGCAAAAAAGAAGCAAGAACAGAAGACAGGTCTTGAGGTTTCGCTGCGCAAAAGGCCAACTTTTCTGCCAGAAATGTCATGGTTTAAATGCTCTGCACCTTCCTTGACCCCAAGGGTTTGCTTCTGAGGGGTGACAACATGAAATTAGCATATTAGAGTTAACCATTTCTCGACACGAACCGTTAACTTGACACGACCCATTAACGCAAATAATAAATGAGTTGGGTTAGTGTCAAATGCAAACAATACAAAATTGGCATTTTTAACAAGTATTATAAGAATAAAAAGCCAATTTTTTGTTATTTTTTATCAAGTATTGACATAATTTTTGTACAAAAAAAAGATGTTTTTATTCATTTTTATTATTATGTTTATTAAGTTAATTTTAAGTTTATAGAAAAAGTATGAGCATGGGTTCGATTAAGTGATAATGGAATCTAAAACTAAAATATTAGCAATAAATTTTTAATTCATGGATTATATGGATTAATACAAACACAACGCCAAAATAAACAAGTCGAGGCAACACGATTAGTTAAATGGATTGGGTTAGGGTTGATTCATGCTCGACATGAACCCGTAAAGACACTACACGAACATGTTCGACACGACTCGATTGCCACCCCTAATTAAACTTAATGAATTAAGTTGCTCTGGCATTGGTACCCACTGTATCCTGACGTATCCATCAAGTATTCATGATGTAGATTAGGAAGGGGATGAGAAATCAAAAGAAAGGGAAAAACTTGGGGAGCAAGCTATATCAATATTAAATAATAACCAAAGTCCCCCAATATATATATATATATAGAGAGAGAGAGAGAATACAAACCCTAAAAGCAAACAAATAGTCAAAATGACAAATAATTCCTAAAAAGTAAAATAAAAAATAACTCATAATCCCTAGTCTATGCCCACTATAACGAAAGACAATCTCATTTCCCGTCAATTCACCTATCCAAGATGTATCCAAAGACCATTTAAGAAAAATAATTTATGCAAGTACATAACATATCGATATCTGATACATTAACAGTTAAGAATACTTCAACCTCAAAGGAGTATCTGTGCTTCACGGGGGGGTGTTTGCATGCATATACGTCGTGGATTTCTTACCTTACTTCAGAAGGATAGGGTGTAAACAAGAGACTTACGAGGGCTCAAGATCACGGTGAATTATTGCTTCCGGTCTATTCTCATGCAGATAGTTTAATCCCCTGCAAGATCACCAAAGATGAATTAGAGAAATGCTCCACACCCAACTGCTTAACTAGTAGAGCCACTGGTAGCTTATACTGGAGACAAGGGTTCACGTCTCCTAATGTTAACAACATACCATGGTGTATAGTAATAATACTACAACTAAACATAGAATCCTGACAGTTTCTCAAGAAAAAGAAGGCTGATTTTGATCTCATAATTACATTATTTGATGGAAAAGGCTAGCTAAATACTTGAAAAAGTTGGTAAACGTGATAATTTAACAAGGAATTGATGTTATGTTAGTTAAAGATGAATTGTGTTTATTTTGCTGAAAAATGATTAAAAATTGGAGGAAATAAAGTGAAAGGAGAACCATAGTTGAAGAGAAGTTTACTGGAAGGCACGTCTAGATGGGGAATTGCCATGCGTCTAGAAGGAAGTGACAGAAGGCAAAGGTTTGAAGAGTGAAATACACTGGAAATTGCGTCCGGATGAAAGGGAACGCGTGTCCGGAATCGTGTCGCCAGTTTGTCAACGACAGTGGCATAATTTTAGTTCAGTTAGACATTTTTCTAAATAATCATATAAATAGAAGATGATGGCTGTGTAAAGGGGACCTTTGGCTGCAGTCTATTATTTTCTTTATTTTTATTCTTTGGTTCATTGTTATCATATCTGGCAAAGAGGTTTAGCTAGGGTTAGGGGAGAACCTCTCAAGGAAGTATGGTAATGTTATTGACTTATGAGTTTAATGGTATGTGATATTTTACTAATTCAACTTTTGATTTATAGTAAAGTTTTTACTCTGTAAAAATTCTTGAGTCATTGTGTCTTATACTTTGATTGCTTGAATTTTCCTGCAAGACAAATAACCAGTTATTCCGCGCTTAAATTGATTACAATTATTTCACACAATAATATAATTGAAGGATTACTCAGGTAAGACATGAATTTGATTGTTAGGAGAGTTTGATTTATTGTAGACTCCGGGCACAGTAAATACTTATGATCAGCAATTAATTCATTGATTTTCCTGGATAAACTTTTAGTTATAAACAAAGGTGTTTTCTCGTTCTTATTACTAAATTTGACGACTTGAGTCAATCGATACTTGATTCTTGTCTAGGATTGAAAGCTAAGTCTTTAATCATTACTTGATTCTTGTCTAGGATTAAAAATTAAGTCTTTAATCATTATTGTATGTATTTGAGAGAGAGTGTCTGATGCTCTAATATTTTCATATTGTTCTAATTACTTTAATTAGTTTTACCAATTCAAATACTCTTTTAAAACAAAATATCTTCACAAGTTTTTTTTACAAAATATTAGTGTGGTTTCTGGTGTTTTCACATTTCCCTGAGGGTCCTGCGTTTGGGTTTACATATTTGAAGTTGTAGCTAAGGCAAAAAAAGGGGAGTTGGGGAGAACAACCCTGATGTAGCCAAAAAGCAGTCAGCAAATCAACTGAAATCAAGGCAGCCTAAGTCCCAAGCATTTAACATAAGTAATTCGTTAGTTTCAAGTACTGGAATATTTCTTGCCTTTCTATCACTTGAATTTGAGGACCTTTCAACTTGGTTAGGACCAAAGTGGGGAGTTTGTTTTCCCTGAGAGCCTAGCTTTCTTTTTCTTTTTTTTTCTTTTTTTTTTTTTGGGGGTGGGGGGATTTTCAATTATAGGAAATGATGTATAGAAGGAGAACCAAAAACAGAGGTTGAACTTGAGGGAGGGTGTGACGAGAGCTTGGGTCTCACGTCAAAAGGATAGAGCCATCCAAGGTTGGTTATATGGTTAAGGAGCCTCTCTACCCACTGCCCATATGTTTTGGGTTGGATGACCACAACAGAATGGACAATAATGAACTACCAAAAGAAGCAGAATTAACATTTCATCTTTATAACATAGATAGTGTCCTGGACCTCGCTATATCCATTGCAAATCTCACAGCTGTCATTGGTTTTAGCGCTCCTTTTCTCTTCAAAAATAAACAAAGATCACCCTGCAATACAAACAGGAATGTATATAAGAGAGGGAAGCTGTTATTTATATATCATAACTAGAAGAACAAAGATAGAAAAGAAATTTTGAGATATCATCGTCTTCGTGACGAAGGTAATTTCTATCTTCTTTTAGCATTTGGAGAGAACTTTTGATCAACTAGAACTAACTGAAAAAGCAAGACTACAAGGCCACCAATGCTATAATCAAAACATAAGCTCATAACAAACATTATTATTATGAGTGTGGTCGTTTCTCACACACAGAAAATTTCTATTTTAAAGTAGGAGATGACAAAGAGGGGTGATCTCTTTGAAGGCTTAAACCAAGGCCTCTGGTACAAATCCCGACACAAAAAATTGCTTTGTATCTTAGCTGGCACATGCAAAATAAAATGGATCATAAAGTTCACATCAAAGCAGCTGAATAATTCAACAAGCCCCATGAGGAAAACCAAATTCATATCATAAAAAAAAATGACGGACCACTGACCATAGACAAAACATGCCATTCATCCCAGTCAAACTGCACGCAATACATTTGCCAGAATAAGCCAACATCGGAGCCAAATAACCAATACCATGATTATATGACATCTCTGACTCCAAACATTTTTTCAATATGACATGCAAGTTTGTTCCTCACTGCAATTATCATGGGCTAGTTATTAAACAAAACAAAATAGAACAATTACACTACATTCATGCACCACCGTTACATAAAAAATTTATGTTCAATATCTGCAAATAGGAAGACCATAACTTATCAAATGCTTACTTCGACATGCAAGTCTGTTCCTCATTGCAATTGTCATGGGCTAGTTAGTAAACAAAACAAAGTAAAACAATTACACTACGTTCATGCACCACCATTACATACAAAATTTATGTTCAATATGTGCAAATAGGAAGACCATAACTTATCAAATGCTTACTTTTCCATTCTCCCCATTTAAAATGAACGGAGTGTGAGTTCTATTACAAACAAGCATAGTTAGAAAACCAACAAGCTATTTGGTAAGCATGAACATAAGTTCATAATGAAGCCTCTATGCCTCCTGAAATAATGTGCACATTCATCTTCCGGCCACCCTATCATTACAAAACTACTATATCAGCATCCTAGCATACATACATTCCTAGAGAAAGAGAGAGATAAACACAAATATAAAGCATTTTGCAAAACCCTACTTCAAGACAAGTAAGTTAGAATCTACGTTAGTAGCAAATTATACGTTAAGAATCAAAGCTAAAGGCACAAGCCAGATAGGATCTTCACTCCAAAAGGGCCTCATATTATATTAAATGAAATTGTATCCACAAACAAAGAAAGGGACAACCACAGCTCGGCTTAATGGGAAATAACTTCAAAAAAAAGAATAGTGTAAGTTTCGTCATTAACAGCCAAAAGGGATTTGAATTTGAGATTAGGCAGTAAATTTAAGCTTTGAAAAAGAAAAATTGCAGTGAAATAAGAACAGGAATCAATGTGTGACTAAAGATTAGAAATTGTCAATACTACAGAGACTAATAATAAAACCCTCAGACACCAAAGATTTAAAAAATATCCAGCATTAATAATTTAAAAGATCATCAAATTTGCAACTGTAGCAAGACTGGAATGAGAAAGACCTTTGGTAAATATTCTGTAACAATCATCATTGGACTACTCTGAGTTACGGCACCCAAAAACTGGACCACATTTGGATGTCGTAACTTCTGAAGCAGTGCAAGCTCATCCCTAAATGCTCTCCTGCGCAAAACCAACAGTATAACTTAACACAAATGCAAAACAACAGCATCAAATGGAAAATTATGTACAACAAAAAAAGTTGGTATTTAAACAACTCACACTTTATCCTCGTCAATAAACACTTCCTCTCCCAGCCTTTTCACAGCAACTCGTGTTCCACGCCATGAGGCGATACGGAAGGTCCCCTGAGAAAGTTTTTAAAATGTTCAAATTAAATGTGAATGAATGAACACGTCATGAAATATTTAGTAGTACAGTGTCTGTTCACGCTTGAACTACAGCTACATCTAATTCAAATACTCAAAAACAATGCAAAGAAAGCAATCAATTTGATCCGATTAAACCAATTGAACATAAGAATACATTCTTTTTTCAGGTGGGAGTATGTATGATATTTTAGGCTTTCCCTTACCATTTTCTCAATCTCCGCGTCTATATACACCTGAACTTTCAAAATTTTTAATTATTTGAAATTACTCATTCTTCCATCTTGCATTTTTAGCCTTCAGATAACATCATAGTCTTGTTCAACAAATTTTTAAAAAAAAATATTGTTTCTTACTCCTAGGCCAAACCTCTTCTGTTATAGAGCTATTTTGTTGAAAAGTAAAGTCTACCTAACGCATTAGTAAAAGGGATATAAAGAGATCACCGTCTCTAAATTAAAAGAACAAAACACTCGGAATCCACAGAGACGAACAAGAGAAAACTCTCAAAATATTGTATTATTAATTTGATTAACTTAATTGAATCGTAGTGTATAGGACAATTTATAGAAAAACCCTAAGGTTTCAAAAAAGGAAACAAATCCTTAGTCTTAGGAAAATTACTAGAAACAAATAAGCAGATGTCTAATAAATTAAGAAAATTGACATAATTTACGCAGCTAATTACTCTAAAAAATTCCTAACTAAATCCTAAATTTAAGAAATAACAAAATAAAATAAAAAATACAAAAATTATTAATCTCATTCTATATCAGGCCCTTCCTCTTAAAAAAAATTCGTTCTCGAGTTTCTATTGCTTGAAAGTTGAAACAGCTCAATACGCCTTTCCTTGTCCACATCCGCTTTGTACTTCAGATTAATCCTTCCAAACAACCTTTACATGAATCTTCAAGGTCCTGGAGAACTAATAGAATAATCTTACATTCAATATCCTTTGGTAGCCATAGCAGGGCTTTAAAAATTTCTTAATATATATCTTTCAAAGTCAACCCAGTGTCTACTTTATCTTGATTTATTTTAGGATAATCAATATCCAACTTTATTGGATAACTAGATTTAATTCGGTCAACAAATCCATAGTGCACGCCTATCAGCACCCTTGAACTATCATGAGAGTCGATAAAGTCAATGTGGAGACTGTAATTACTCGATAGATCATGACAATTTTATTTTCTCCATCGATTTTACTAAACTCACATGTATCAGGCTCAAAAATAATGATTTCATGTATCATCACCTACAGCACTACTATTAATTTTTATCTTCGTTTTTTTCCTCAGCATTCTCTTTCATAATAATCTTCAAGAGGCACCACAACATTTCCAGAAGTCCATTCGGTCTCATCACAGCCATCAATCTTTGGTTCTTGATAACTTCCAATTTTTTTTCTTTTCTGAACTAGCATAATTATTAAACATGGGAATACTTGAATAAACCTTTTTCTCGTTACTTTTCTGATCCCTCGAAAAACTTGAAAAATCCACATTCATAGATTTCTTATATGAAACTTGATGTGCAAGATAATTATTATATGATGCAAGGATCAAAATATCGTTTCGGTATATTGTTTCGGTCACCTAGAAAACGAAAACGTTTCAATGTGTTTCAGAAACGTTTTGACCCGTTTCGGAAACATAATGAAAAAAATAAAAAATTTAAGAATTATTTTTCTAAAATATTGATAAAAATATATCAAAATATCTTAAAATACCGCAAAATATTCTAAAACAATTGTGCAAATGCATTGAAATATTATAATACATTTAAAAATATTATGGAATACCTCGAAATATCAGAATTTCGATTCTATCACTGTTTCGTTTCAGTCTCCTTAGAAACGAAAACGTTTCAGACGTTTCGACCGTTTCGAAACGATATTTTGATCCTTGATATGATGAAAAAAATTGACTTAGTCGATTCTTTCGATCCAAACTCACTTTGTTGCCTCACACATCGATACAAATCATATTCTTCAACGTCATTGCAATATGAAATAGGTGATACTCGGGCATGCGTACCACAAAAATTATGTCTTAAAAGGATAGACATGATTACAATCTTAAATAGATTGAACACAAGTCCTATTGCCGTTCAGCATCTTATTTCGATTGAGATCTTAGTTTGGACTCAACATCAACTAGGCAACCGTAACCCACAACTTTTGTAAGGACTGTTGGAACTATTGTTGAAAATTCAAGAATTCGGCTCTTAGGAGAGCCTCTTCCATATGATCACTATAATTAGGAAGATTGTTATCACTTCGTTGATTGGTCATTACACTAGATTAGTCAAGACTCTGATACTAATTAACACAACGGTAAACGAGCATATGAAGAGATCACCATCTCTAAGTGCAAGGAACAAAACACTTTGAATCTACACAGAAGAACAAGAGAAACTCTCAAAATATTGTATTATTGATTTGATAAACAGAATTAAGTCGTAGTACATAGGACAAATTATAGAAAAACACATAACCATAAGGTTTCCAAAAAAGAAACAAATCCTTAATCTTAGGAAAATTACTAAAAACAAATAAACACTTGTCTAATGAATTAGAAAATTTAACATGATTTCGGCGGCTAATTATTCTAACAAATTCCTAAAGAAATTCAAAATTTAAGAAATAATACAATAAAATAAAAATACATAAATTATTGATCGCATTCTACATCACTACCCCACCCTAACTTTGCGAGTAATGAAATCTAGATCCTTCCCTAATATGGGAGTTAAAAGGAGAGCTCAAGCCTCCTCATGTTAAAAGGAATTCAAACATTTTGCAGAACCAACGCAAAAACATTGTCTAGACTTGAAAGTTATGTAATGTACACCTTCTAATTCGCAATAAGCATTAACACCAGCCAGCCCACAAACATAGCCATGCAAAGAATCTAGATTAGGGCAAAGCAATTCTACTAAATTGAACTCACTAATAACTCCTTACATTATATTGAAGTATCAACTATCAACCTATTCAAGCTTATTCTAGGTTCAATGACATAATATATCAAACATGTAAGGATGGAGAACACACTAAATGACGACACCATTTCCTCTTCTTTTTTTGGTGGTCTTTTTTTTTTTTTTTTTTGGTGTGGGGGGAGGGGGGGAGCAATAATTAAAAATTGATGTTCAAAACCACCACAAAGCATTTCCAAAGTCAAATTAACAAGTCTCCTACAATTTCAATGATTTATCATAATCATAAGCATCTTTCATTGCCAACATTAAAGTGCAGGCTAGGCTATCAACTTTGGCATCTAGACGCCATATGCACATTAAATGAAAAGACACCACCTTTGAAAGAAATAAAAAAATAAAATAAAGAAATGGTCAATACTCCACCTAAATAGACATTAAAAGAATGATAATGGAAGTAGCAAATTCTCCATAACATGCAATGTAACAAAAAGATAATTAGTTCCAATGACTTCTTTGTCAATGACATGCAAAATGTCACACCAAGCTAGTTAGTTCTGATGACTTCCAGACAAAGATGAAAGGGACCAATTTTTTTAGCATGAAGAAAACCATAATAGAAAAGGACAATATTTCACCTTAGTTATATCAACACTGTTTGTCAAATCTAGTTCCTTTGGATCAATTTCATATTCTGGGACTTCACGAGCGTTTTTGACGTGCATAGGGGCCATCTAATTGGAAACAATTTTTCAGGAAAAAAAATTAGAAAATCATCAAAACAGAGAGTCAAAAAGCACGGAGGTGCAATCAGTGCCAGTAGTTTTATAACACAAGAAAACATCTGATATAAAGTTACCAAAGGCTTTGCACCATGTTTCTCTAGAAGTTTGATCACATCATGCTTTTTATAATGTATTGCATCTGCAAGAGGCTGTAAAAGCAACATCAAATCATAGTCAAACTATATAAACTACAAGGAAGAGATGATTCAGTCTCTCGATAACACTCGAGCCGGATAAAAGTTTTTCGAACACAAAAATTGCAAGAAAGAGGACAAGCAATTGGCAAATGTTGCAAACCTTAAGGTTGCCCATAAAAATGCTGACTTACGGTATGACTTTCAGATACTTCTTCAAGATCTTTTTTATTACAATACTGGGATATGCACTGAAGTGCACAATAGGCCAACACAAACATACCCCAAAAAAATGAAAACAATTGTCTTGAAAACAGAAGGCGCAAACAATAGCCGCGGCCAAAGGACTGTGATTTAGGCATATTTGAATGTCACCAAACCAGGAAATGGGAATGACTGATATGGAGTCTTCTCTTCAGGATTTTTTATTTTTCCATTTTTTTTTTCCTTTTTCATATGTAAGACCTTTCAATTGATAAATCGAGCCGACAACATGCATCAACCAATGAAAAAACCGAAGACCGACATGTACAATGTGAAACAGACTTCCAAATGAGTATGCCATTAATGATTCACATTTATATCAGTGGAAGACCTTTTATCATCTCTGGAATGTCTGTCTTTCGTTGCCCGAGTGAGAAATTAATGATAAGTGATCATTGAAACAACATAGTAGAAAGCAATAGGATGCATACAAGAAATATGATGAGGGGTAAGAAACATGAGAATATCATTTATCACACTATAATCGACTTAAAAAGAGTAAAAGAAAAGAGTATCAAACATTGAATTTTGAATCTTTTTGTACCTTGTGGCTTGTACATTACTATGAAATTCTTTATTCTTAAAACGGCTAAAGCATTTCATTGCTCAGTATTTATCAGAATGATTGGACAGTGAAAGTAGAGAGAAGCATAAAAGAAGTACAAAACGAATTTAAATCCTTCCTATCCCAGATTACACTCGCACGCCTGCCCAACCAAACCTAACTAGAGTTGCCGAGTTCAATAGCAACATATTCAGCACTAAATTAGGCTACTTTCCTTTTTCACTCAATCCAAGAAAAATGAAGTTGCAGCCCTATAGAAGGCACAATAAATAACTGGTTGAATCTGGAAGGGAAGTGAAACACTTGGTCTGGATACAAGGTAATAGAGGCTTCACAAGACAAACATAAACTCGGTCATAACAGTAGCAGTTAATATTGCCCTTGAGTGACTAAAAAACGTAGAGATATCAACCTTAAGCAGAGCCCTCTCAACACCGACCACATCAAAATTGTACTTTTCACATAATCAACAATTTGACAAAGACAAGCATAAACCAGAGTAACCCAAAAAGAAAGTCAGAGGTGAACAAATGACACTTTCTGCATCAGTAAACTAGCAAACCAAGCTCACAATACCTATGTCATGTTGATTACAAGGCAACCAAATCAAAGCCTCATAGCTCTCAAGACAAAAAAGAAAGACATATCAGCCAAGAAATTAAAAATCATATTTTACAGGGATAATTGAGTATATATTGCACTCATCTTCATCAACCTCAACATGGGGATGACATCCTTCCAAAAAAATTCAAAAGGAAAAAAAAAGAAAAGAAAATTCAAGTTATTATATCTCATTTTTATCATGGATTTTAATCACAATCTTTCATTTCAAGACCACCAATCAACCACACTACAGAACCACATGAGCATGTATCACCTCTATTCACTGATCAAACAAACAATAAATCAGACAAATATACCCTGAACAATAAAACAATCCAATAAAACCATATCAACAAAGAACTAACAAATGTACAAATAAAAGAATTAAAAACACCAAACTCGAGACACACATAAACATACACATACACAGACAGGGCTAATAGATAAGAGTCCTATACCGTGCTTCCCCATCGGTCTTTCAGGTCAACTTCAGCCCCTCTTTCGAGCAAGAAATGAACCACATCAATAAACCCCTGGCATGCCGCTACGTGCAAGGCGGTCCGGTCGTCGATGTCCCGGAAATTCACATCCGTACCTGAACTTAACATCTCCTTAATCCCATCCAAATCACGCTCACTTGCAGCGTACATCAATCTCACCCTCGGATCAACATCAATTATCCCCTCCCCATCTTCTCTCTCCTCTGGCCCTACCAAATCGCCATTGCCATCGTACGGTGCCAGCGATGATTGCTTCCCCAACGCAAATCTCACCGGCGTCTTCGATTCCATCGTCAAAAACTCAAAAAAATCACACCGTTCAGGCGGTTAGCCACTGACTTTTCAAAATTTAACCGTTTGAACCCAGATTCTTATTGAAAATTTGAGCTCTTAAACCCTGGTTTGAACCCAAAATTGATACAATATCAACGTTGAGCAAACTCTAAATTTTCGGAATTTAACGATGCAAACCCAATTTCTTTAAAATTAAGAGCTTAAACCCTAAGGGTTTGGTCAGCTGGAATTGGAGTACTGTGAGAGAACCAAAACTTAGTATCCAACTTAGTATCCCATGAGACAATTTTCAGGCTTTGAGATTTTGGAGATTCTGTGTGTGTGTGTGTGTGTGTGTGAGAGAGAGAGAGAGAGAGAGAGTTGGTGTCGTGTGTGAAAGAGAGGTGTTGTAAAGTTGAAACTTGGGAGGTTTAGGAAAGGCAGTGGCGGTTGGAGAGGTTCGACGAATGTTGACAACTGAAAGGCAAGGGAAGAGTTTGATTGCACGCGCTAATATGTGTCTGTAAGTTTGGGTTTTGTGGCGTGTGAACATAGCGGAACAGCGAGGTTGCTGCTTAAGAAATAACGGCTACCTGACTTGAATAAATAGTTGCTTACTAGTTGGACTTGATCAAGTTTACATAAATACAAATTGATGGAATTATATTTTCTATCATAAAAGATTTAAAATTTCTCATTGTACAACTTAAAAGTTTAAAATTTTTACATTATACTTTTAATTATTACAATAAAACTCTTCTTTTACCTTCAATTATCCATCCCGTCAATATGAATTGCTTGATTTGTGACGGAATAATCAACAGAAGCTAATAAAATGATCACATTATGATATTTTTAATACAGTGAAGGTATAGTATAAAAAATTTAATCTTTGACAGTAAAAATTAAAATTTTTGAAATCTTTCAAGGTAGAAAATACAATTTATCCATAGAAATTTGGAGGATTCGGATCTCCTGGTCTGTATGATTGGACTTTGGTGGGTGGACACCGAAAACTGGGCACATAAAGATTGAAAAATCTTTTCTTTTTTTTTTTTTCAAAATTGTCTGCAAAGATTTGTATTAAGTGTAGAAACTTTCAGGTTCTTTTCTTGACTAAAATTTTGTATGTTTATCTGTAAAAGATAAATCCAGTTCAAAAAAAAATCTATAAAAGATAAAAAAAAAAAAAAAAAAAAAAAAGGTTGAAAATTTTTGATTTTTTTTTAAACATTGGACAAAGGGAGAGCCATAATGAGTGAAAATGGGATGGATGGAAAATAGAAGATGGAAAGTATGATGAAAAATGTAATTTTTCTCTCTTTGATTAGAAAGGAAAGATGAAGAGAAAGGAAAATAGGATGGAAAAAGAATCCTCTCCTCCCGCCCACCAAAATGGATTACCCTAAAAATGGGAGGAAAATAACAAAAAGTGGACTGCCAGAGGTGCCAGCAATGGAGTTCACAACCTTTATTAGCACCTATTGACATTTTAGTCCTTTGAGGCTAATGTTTGGTCGTAGAATATTTATAATATAAAATAGGATAAATTTTAATAAATTTATTCGATAATTTTAATTAGATTCATTAATTATCAATATGTTTCTCAATTCATAACTATTTAAGGACATTTTATGGTATTTAATTAGTAGTGATTTATTTTATTTTTTTTTATCAAAAATAGCAAAAAAAAAAAATTTATCTCTTCCATTTTTTCATCTCTTCTACTAAACATAAAGAATAAAAAAATAATTTCATTCCTTTATAGATTAAAAACTCATTCTTTCTTTGTTTCTATACCTTCTATCAAACGGATCATTGCGTAGAAAGTCAACTAACGGATCATTACGTAGAATGTCAGCTAGTAAGCATGAATCTTATCTTTAGAGCCATTTTTGTCTACGCCCCTAAATGTCTATTACATTTTGAGTATAATAAATATGTCCACATATTTACATTTTAACCACCATAAATCTGATCAATTATATTTTAGCCACTTATTTATATTTTAATCATATAAAAAAAAAGTCCACACACTTCGCCGTGCATTGCTTGTCAAAAATGAGTTGCAAGGGGGATTGGCGTGAAAGTCCTACATGGTCATGACCATAACAATCTGAACCCGTGGGAGAGTCCTCTAGAGGGATCTAGATGGTGGGTTATGATGATTTTTACAAAACGTTATCTTGTCACTAGACCACCGACTTTGATGGTGTAAACACCAACTTTTAACCACTTACGTGAAATTTCTCTACATGAACTATATATTTCTATTTTGTTGAGTAGTCATATAATCAACCCAAAAAGTCTTAATTAAGATTTTGGAATCTTAACTTGGAGATAGTATGTCAGAAGGAGGGTCATTGGTCCAATGTTGTTCTAGGTTTTTTTATTGCAGTGGTTATTTTTATTGCAATCTAACATGAAGTTATCCTGTATGGGTGGTGTTTTGATGGGTTTATGTTAGGCTAGGTTCAATTGTTCATTGAACTTCATTCAATTAATTGATGAAGGGAACTTAATTATACTCAAATTAAATATTATTATGCACGATACAAATTTAATTGTCATAATGATAAATAAATCTCATTTGAGTTAAATCAATGTTGTAAAAATTGATGATGGAACATGAATCAATGCTCTTATCACCGGCTGGCACGTGGACAAAGAAAAATCCCCACATCGAGAGTATTCAGTCCCCCGAGAAGGCCAAACGGAGCCCCTTGCAAACTCCTAAGAGAGACACGGGCCTGAGCCCGAGAAATAATATGTGAGTCCACTATGTGACGAGTAGCATAGAGTGATTAGTTGCGGCATCACATCCATCCACATGGAGACCCTTATTGAATCCGAAAAGTCAGTTGAAGGCACAATCCTAGCTTGTTGATGTGGACTAGTTTGGAGAGACATCATTTAATGATCGGTGTGGACCGCTTAAATGTTGGGCATATGTCATAAAATGTCTAATGTAGGTCATTAAATATCTAGATAGTACTCATTGAATGCTTGACCTCTGAGTTGGGTAATTATGACATTTGACCTCGAGTGATCGCCCCGACTCCCCTAAATCTAATATATGTGCGGCTCGAGGGAGACATTATACTCTAACAATTCACCCATATGGGTATCCACCCTGCCAATTTAATGTGACTCGCAAGATTTCATGTCATCATCTCTCGAGGTTTAAATAGTTCAAAGGGATGATAAGTCTCAGGTAAGCATGTACAACTCAACTTATACAATATCCATAATCCTCTCAGTCTGAACACTGATAATCTTAGATATCAAAAAGGATATGCCGAATATACATTCGACCCCCCCCCCCCTTCTACCCTTATTCTTTGTTTTAGGGATTACATCTCAATTCAGCTGAGTGTTGTTATATCAACTATTTTATATGATCCACTCTTTATAATCCAGTTTAAAAAAGACACGAACCTTACATAAATATAATTTATCGTCGTCCTACGCGTGACTTGTGAGACATGCGAACATGCGTGCCCACAAAGTTTTTTGTAGGAAAAAGTCTGCTTTCCTAAAATTAAACGCCAACTAAGACCAAATACTATGTTTTGACAGCTCAAACATGTGATCAATGGCTGGTCAAAGATGATACTTTTCAAATATGCTTGAATTTCACTTAAGATGTATCATGTAAATGTAGTAAAAGAACCCCCTAAAAATACACTGTAAAAGGATGAAGATTAATATTCGAACACTTTCAAGAATGACAGAGAGGATGGGGAACGCCTTCATGTCATAAGAGTCATGTTGTATTAAAATTTATTCAATTTATATATGTAAAATTATAATAAAATTTAATCAAGGTCATATTATCTCAAGTATGTTTATAAACGTATCTAACCTCATTGATCTTCTACATATTCGAATTAGATTTGACCCGTTAACAACTAATATTTTGTTAGTCAATCAAATGAAGATCTCGACCCGTTAAGATTAAATATATACTTCATAAATTTGTATAAATTTTGTTTCCAATTAATACATCGTGTTAAGAATTATCAAATTTGTCAAACGGTATCAGTCATACGATAAATCTCTGTTATAGTTGTCTAGTTTCTGGTGCGACATGACCTATATGGAAAATATATAAAAAAATTCATACAACCATTTTAAGTATTGTCATTTGAACCTTCCTTTTATTTTTTGAAAAATGAAAAAAGAGCAATTGAATTAATTAACAAAACATGTTTTCTTCGTTGACAGAGGAGATACCGATCTGTCTCGGGCACTCTTGATCATTGAACCAACAAATAGAGAAGATACCGATAAACCATGATCCCAAAATGGTTGTTAACTCCTTGACAATGTCCAAGTTTCATTTTTCTGGGCACAGCCGAAGGTTCTTGGCCAGTGCTAACTCGTCATTTTTTGAATATATCACCATTATGTATCATACCACATCCACTTCGATGTTGGCTATTGAGCTGCCTCAATCCATTGATGTAGTACATATCGGCTTTTATTATAAAGCTAGTAATTGCTAGTGTTTGAAGGTACAAAATAAAAAAAAATTCAATATATTGTTCCATTATACATATTTACACCAAAAATCAACGACAAATTATAACAATTAATCAAAGAATGAATTCAAAATACATAAATTCCTTATGTGACAGTGTGTGTGATTGCCAATCTGTGAAGAGTTTTAAGTGTTAAAATGAGTTAAATTTTCGTTTAAGGGCTAAAATATAATTTATGATATAATTTAGAGGACAAATGAGTAATTTAATATCCATAAAATAGGCGCCTTAAAATTTAAACCAATAAGAATTGAGTATTGAAACCCCACATGAGAGTAAACTGGACAACTATTATGGCTAATTTTGGATACATTCTACGTTCTCAAATTCATTCATCCAAAAGTTAATAAATTACCCTTTTTTCTTTAGTATTTTTCCTCCAATCGGTCAATAATTACGGCTGATCTTGGAACACAAGACTTTCATTAATATTATAATTAAATGAGTTAAATTTGCCATTAATATCATATGTGTAGTGTAACAATTTGAATTTTATAAGACATAATAATAACATTTTGATTAAAAAAAAACTCATCAATTTAACATATACAAAAATAAGGGCACTATTTAACACATTTATATTGAATATAATTAATTTTAATTTTATTTATTTAATTAATTATCTCAAACTAACATGGTTTACACATATCTTAAATCAAAAGTTCAAGACTAATTTTTTTTATTTCAAGAAAATTCAACCCTAATATTCTTATAAATTAATAATTTTGTAATAATTTGTACTAATTAAAAAATAATATTTTATAAATAATATTTGTAAAAAAAATTTTGATAGAACAAATTTTGGCGATATGTTTTTTTGATAAATTAGAGTTTTAATTTATATTAGATTTGACTCGATTTTGATTGCATATATATAAATTAATATTTTTTAAGTCAATTCTATTATATTTCATGGATTTATCTATAATATAAAACTGAAAAGACTTTAATAAATTCATCCAACAATCACCAACATCTCTCTGAAAATCATTCACATTGAATTTTACCTTATTTTTCTCACTCATCACTCTCTCTTTATGTGGCATTGGCGGATAGAGGAGGGGTCTAAGACCACCATGATATAATTTTTTTTAAATTATATATATTTTATATAGTTTTTTTGGAAATTCTTAATTGCATCCGCTGTGATAATTTATAAAAAATAAAATTAATTGGGTCAAACAAGTTGGATACTAGAACAAAAAAACGTCCATATCAAATCTGTTAAAATTAACAAAATAAAATTGATTTCTTAGAGTATTGGTATGATTTATTGGAGCTTCATTTGATTCAAAAATTATGAAATATATAGCCAAATATGAGTACAATATAGAATTTGTAAGAAGATTAAATATTATAGAAATATTACTTTTAGTTGTGTCAAATCTATAATATTAAATAGGACAGATTTCAATAAGTCCATTCGACAGTTTCAAATAGACTCATCTAACGATCTTCAATATCCCTCTTAAAATCATTCACGTTGAATTTTTACCCTCCCAAATCCGTCACTTTTCACTTATATTGCACCGTGCCTTCAGGTACGAATTACCCTTAATCAACTATAAGACTTGACTTAATTAAGATTAATAAAGTCTGGAATTTAGGTCTTACTTTTATTTTTGTAAAACACATGTAAATGACGATGGAGAGAGATATAATGTAAAAACTAATGTGAAATTGATAATCCTAGCTTCAAGTAAAATTAGTCATAATAAAATTCGAGCTCCCAAAAAATTAATTCTACTATATTAAATTTTGTTAATATGTGTTTATTATCGTGTATAGATAATATTTAAAATAAAAATTATGTTAAATTATAAATTAATTAAATATTAAATAATTAAAAATATGATAGAAATAGATGATGTGATGTTTTAAAGAAAAAAATATGTAAGATAAAAATTTAAATTACTAGGTATTTTATTATATAGATGTGAGAAGCAAGATGGTTTTAAAACTAATATGAAATAAAAGGCATAGTTGAAAAGTCCAAAATATTTGGGGAAATTGGTGTAAATAAACCAAAATTTCCAGCATACCCTAGCTTAATTTCACCGCATCTCTCTCGTTCTATCTCTGTCTGCGTGTTACTGTGAGTGGAGCTAGAGCAGTCACATTCACAGCCCATGAGAAACCCATAAAGAAAATCTTTGAAATTGTTAGCAAAAGAGTTCAGAAAATCAGAAAAGGTTAGAGCTTGTTTGCACTACAAAACTCTCATTTGGGTTCAATTGGAAGATTTTATCTGGGTTCCCTGAATTAGTTTCTGATTTGATTTTTAGGGTTTCTAAATGGAGGACAATCAGGAAGTAGATGACAGTCAGTCTTTAGAGATTCCAGAGAGCACACCTCAGAAGAAGCAAAAAACCCTTGAGGAGATACTTTCTAGGCACAGGTTATATGTCAATAAAAAAAAAACTATTCTTCTAGTTTCCTATATTGATGGTTTTGTTTTTATTATACTTTCTTATAGTTGTTTTTAGTTTTTCTTCTCCACCTGTGAATTAATGGAAGAGTGAAGTTTGTTTTTCCTTTGTGGGGGTGGTTTGGTTTTTTTTTTTTTTTTTTTTTTGGGGGGGGGGGGGGGGGGGGGGAAGGGGGAGTAGTGGCTAAGGATCCCTTGAATGTGGCTGGTTTAGGACGGGAGTGGCCTTGAGCCTAACCCATGAGACAAAACCTAACACACCCCACCTACACCCCTGGGACACACAAGTAGAAAAACACCGGACAAAGAAAAATAAATGAAAAAAATAAAAATAAATTGCGGGGTTGAGAAAATTGCTCAGTGGATTGAGGTCTTTGGGGGCTCGAAGAGGTTGAGAATTGCAGAGCATTGATCTGAAACTCATGAAGAAACCATATATTCTTTTGTACCGGAAACCTAAGAAACTAGTTAAACAATTTGAATGCGACGGACTCCTGAGCACTTTTAGATCATGAACAATTGGATAGATAAAGGAATACCAAAATGGATTGAAAATTTTGACATGAGGACTATTTAAATTTTGGAGAGCCAAAGGTGAGGGGTAAATCCCCGATGATGATGTGAAAGTTGGAATATGGGGGCGTTGGAAGCAGATATATGGGGTTGTCAGGTACCTCTGAAATTGATCTTGTGCAAAACCTATTTGTTGTTTATGGAAACTCATTTGAACACATGAGAGAACATAATATCTTTTTGACCCAGCCCCTTAGGGGCATGGCCCCCCCCCCCCCCCCCCCCCCAAATCCTGCTCATTTGCGTGTCTAGCTATTCCATGCCTGTTTGAGTCACTTCATGTTTATTGCAGCATTCCTTTCTGGGGTTGCTGTAAACATAATAACCAAGTGAGGTATGGGTCCAATTTTATACCATGTTCTGAAGTGCACTTACGTAAATCAGTTATTGCGTTGAAAAAAAATTGGATTTGATATGTCAAAAACATTAGGGGACACCTTTTGTGTCATGCGCAAGGTAGAACAGATTCTAAACAAAACGAATGTCAGAAATTTTTAATTTAGCCATCCCCTTCTCTCTCTCTCTCTCTCTCTCTTGTCTCTCTCTCTCTCTATTGCTGTCTTGAACTTTTGGTATGAGGATCCTATCGTTTTTTCGTAATTAGATATGATTTTATCATAGCCGCTGCCAAATAGTTGGGATAAAAGCTTTGTTGACTTGAGTATATGATTATATCATGCGTGAAGCATTCTTTTCCTGGGTAGCAGTAATTGTTATGGTCATTCTATTTTTATGCAGGCATTGTTTTCATACGTTAATTGATCACTACCATGTATAATTGATCAAGTAGCTGAACTCTGAAGGAAAATTTTGCATTGATTATCAAAACAATATCTATTAGCCTACATGATTGGCATCAGAATGGTTGGTTTTTGTTTCAAACTTTCATTTATACTCTTGTTATATTTGATTTAATGCATTGCAGGAAAGAGATTGCCCAGCTGCAAAACAAGGAAGTTGCACTTAAGAAGACAGCAGCTAAAGGCAGCAAGGCTGAACAGAAAGCTAAGAAAAAACAAGTGGAGGAAGAGATATCACAACTTTCTGCAAAGCTTAAAGAAAACCATGCAGAGGAACTAGCTTCTTTAGGGTATAACAGTACTAAGAAGGAGGAGAGAGGCAATCTAGACAGTTTGGTGAGGGCCATAGCTGGGGTTTCTGTCACTGGTCAACCGGACCAATCAAAGCCCAGTAAGAGTGTCAAGCGACGTGAGAAAAGAGCACAAGAAGAAGCAGCCAGAGAGCAAAGAATACAAGAAGAGCAGAGCAAAATTACAAGTGATCGAATGATTGAGAGCGAAAAGTTGGAAAGAAAGCTAGAACCTCTTGGCTTGACTGTGAATGAAATAAAACCAGATGGGCACTGTCTCTACCGTGCCGTTGAGGGTCAGCTCGCCCTCATCTCAGGCAGTACTTCTCCATATACTTACCAAGAACTTCGAGAGATGGTGGCTGCTTACATGAGGAAACACGCGTCTGATTTTGTTCCCTTTTTCCTGTCTGAGAGTATGGCAGATGGAGACTCTGATGGTTCTCTTGCAGAGAGGTTTGAGAATTACTGTCGAGAAGTGGAGTCAACAGCAGCATGGGGAGGACAATTAGAGCTCGGTGCTTTAACTCACTGCCTGAAGAAACACATCATCATATTTTCAGGATCCTTCCCTGATGTCGAGATGGGAAAGGAATACAAATCCGATAGTAGCAGAACTGGCTCATCCAATTCCAGTGTCATGCTATCATACCATAGGCATGCATTTGGACTTGGCGAGCATTACAATTCTGTCGTCCCAGTTTGATAAATAGGTTTCATTATAATATCCTATAGGGAGAGAGTTATGACTATTGTCTTATGTTTCTTTGTAACGTGCACAACTTTGTGTTGAATTTTAATTATAACCCTCTATGGGTATTTTTATTTTGTTGTGTTATTACAGTTGGATGGTGAGGACTTGGTTTAACCCGACGCCCGCGGTTTCTTTGATTGGCGGAGCTGAGCCCATCTGCATGTCATAAGAGTATGTTTCTGCTGCTTGAGTTAGCTTGAGTGAATGCTATGATAGGTTGAAAGTGAGACAATGCTCAAGAGTTCCATAATTTGTTGCTGGAGGCAATAGAGTACATTTTTGGATTCTAGAGTGAAGAATATAAAGTTGTTGTGCAATCCACTGGTGCTTGGGGCAGATTGGCAGTAACTTTTGAACAGCAAGCTATAAGGCAAGATGTAAAAAACTGTTTGTTATAGCTATAAATTATGTTATCCTACGCAAAGTTACACTTATATTTAAATTTGAGAAAAATTGACTCTAAAACCATCTCCAATTTTTTACCCAAATGTATACCAAATCAAGGGAGAGTTTATTTTTTGACCTAAATTGAAGAAGACTCAAATTTCATACCCAATTTCTAACAGTAATATTTTACAAAATTCTGAGTGTATTCTCTCTTTTCTGTCTTCATCCCTTCACAACTTCCGACATCATCGGCCAGTGAGGCAAACTTGAAGAAGATGACGGGTAAGAGTTTTAACTTCTCACTTGGGTCTTTGTCTTTATAAATCAAATTGTGAAAGATTTGGTCTTTTGGTGTAGTCGGCACATGCTTCAAATTTGTTGAAGCTTTGAGTTTTTGGTGTTGTCGGCATTCCTCGAATTCTAAAAATTGATAAAGCTTGAAGAGGAGAAAAAAATTAAAGAAAATAGCATTTAGGACAATATAGGTATGAAATTGATTTTTTTTATTGGAAGAATTGATATCAAATTAAACGTTTTACTTAAATTTTTATCCAAATTTGGGTAAGTATTTGAATCAACATTAGAGATATTCTAAGACAAGTCTCGATATGGTCTAAAAAAGTATTTTTTTCGGTATGATTTTTGATACCATAATTGTATTTTTTAACCAAAAAAAAAAATACACCCCATAAAAAATTACAAGAGAATTTACCACCAGCTGTTTATTAAGTAAATTACAGGATTTCGAGTACCAAATATCTTACACACGACTACATATAATCCTTAAAATGTTGATTTTGTCCAAACATATAATCCTTTCAAACGTGATGCAAGAATTGTTTTAACCACGTGTCAAGCGTGTGTTAAACGGTGACGGGTGAAAAATATATAAATTCGTACACAACATATTTAATAAACGGGTAAAAAATCTCAACACGAACACGACTCATTTAATAAACGGGTAACACGATACGACTAGTTTAACCCGTTCAATTTTAAAAAAATTATATTAACAAATTTTAATACTCTATTTTTTTAATTGCCAATTGCACTTACTTTAAAAAAAGAAGATTTTTTAGTTAAATTTCATAAAAATAAGACTTAAAGGATTAAAAAAAAAAGTAAGAGATCATTATTTTTTATAGGCAACTCAACCCTCCCTATCTCCCCTCATTTTTTAATGTAGGACAAATAAGACTTGAAGACTTAAAAAATAAAAGTAAGAGGTCATTATTTTTTATAGTCATCTCAATCCTCCCCATCTCCCCTCATTTTTCAACGTGGAACAAATAAGACTTGAAGGCAAAAAAAAAAAAAAAAGTAAGAGGTCATTGCTTTTTATTAACAACTCAACCCTTCCCATCTTCTCTCAATTTTCAATGTGAGACAAATAAGACTTGTTTTTGTCTTTTAAGTATTCCTCATCTCATCTATTTTGTCTTTAAACTATTACTTTATTTCTTTTTTTTTATTGATTTCTTGATTATTTTTTTTTGTTAATTTTTTTAAATAATTATTAAATAATTATTATATTAATTTTATTTAAAGGGTAAACGTGTGATAAACGGTTTGACAGGTCTCACCTGAACACGATCTCATTTATTAAATATGTTTGATGTGTCAACTTGTTTATCACTCAAATTTACTTAATTTGTATTGATTAATCGTGTCGTATCAAATTTTAAGTGGCCACCCATATAATCATCCATGCGGGGATAGGATTTCTAATGAGTTTAGAGTCCTTACTCCTATCACTACAGGCATACGTACGGATAATTATCGCCGGTTGGTTGGGGTTGTAATAGAGTTTACAAGAAACTTTAAGTCCAAGTATATATACAACGAATTTTTTAGAATAATTTTTTTTTATGAGTAATGTTATTGGAATATAATTTGAGAACATAATAAATTGTCACAAATGATATGATATTGAATTCATTAATGCTACAATGAGACCAATCATTAAATATATTTCACTATCATTTTATTGGTAATAACTCATTATGCCCTTAAATTATATCTCAATAGCATTAATATTTTTTTATTACTAAATTAAGCCATTCTTCCGATGTCTCACCAACTAACCAACTTTCATTTGATTTTTTTTTTAATTTAAAAAAATTAATTTTTATCGCCTATAAACTTTTCATTAATTTTAAACTTTTCTATTTATTAATAAAGGTGGATATCAAAAAAAAGACTAAAGGGACGACACTATTTCGTGCATTGCATAGGGATGACACTAGTATGTCTATATCTATATTTGTATCTATATTTATCTATTTATATCTATATATATAATAAAGTACAACACAATTCAAATTTCAAAAGATAAACAAAATGATTTTTACTATTCGCGGTTGACATCTCTTTAAATTTTACTCTAAAATTAATCTGACAGTTAATATTAACACTCTAAATTTAATAAGAAATTTAGGCTCCTAAGGATGTGTTTGGAGTGATTTTTTAAAAGTGATTTTAGAATTATTTTTTATTAGTACTTTTAAAAAAATAATATTTAGAATTGTTCTATCACTACCTCTACCACTACCATCCCCCACCGCTCCACTACCATCGCCACCCCCACCACCGTCGCTGCCACCACCATTATCGCCACCCTACCCCACCCATCGCCTCACCACCATCACCATCACCACCTCTGTCACCACCTTACCACCACTACCATCACCATCACCACCACTACCACCTCCACCTCTATCGCCCCACCACCACCATCATCACTACCACCACCGCCCCACATCACTGCCACTATCACCATCGCCCCACCACCACTACCGCACCTTACCACCATCACCATCGCTGTCGTACTTTGGCACCATCGCCATTGTCCCACCATCACCACTACTACCCCACCACTACCCCAACGACCATCACAACTACCAACACCATCGCCAACACACAACCACCACCCCCCACCACCGCCACTACCCCACCATCGCCACCTATTACCGTTGTTACAATTGTCGTCTACCACCACCACCTACTACCATCGTCATCTTATTGTTATATTTATTATTATTACCACGACCGTCTCACTACCACCGTCGCTCACTGTTAGCACCAACTCACCACCATTGTTGTCCACTATCACCCACTACCACAATCCATCACCACCTACTACTACAACCCACCACCACCCGTCATCACTCACTATTGCCACCAGCCTTGTCACCCACACCTACCACCACCACCCATTATCGCCCACCACTGCAGTCACTCATTGTCACCTACCCCCATCACACTTACTACCGCCGTTATTCCCCACCACCCATCACACTGTCACCTAGAAAAGCACTCATTGTTACCCACCACTACCATCGTCACCGCCCACCACCACCATTGTCATCACTTGCTCTTGTTACTACCATCATCGTCACACCAAACCCACCATCACCGTCACCGTTGCCACCCACGACTGCCACCACCATCACGGTCTTTGCCACCAATCACAACCATTATCATCTCTCACCATCACCACTGTTGCCTACGACCACTACCATCGCTCACCCTCACTACAAATCAGTGCTTAAATTTATTTATCTTTCATCTATGTTTATGATTTAATTTAAGGTGTGGATATAAATATGTTTATTGTTGACTATTTTTTTTTATTATTTCGTATTTTCAAGCACGGGAAATAACTAGTACTACTATAAAATATTAACAAAAGTGAAAAACTTTTAATTGACTATAATAACCATTATAAAATAAATAATACATACATTATCATTTTTAGTCATAATAACTACATTAAAATAATAGGGAATTATGTCCCGTTGGGTTGCTTTTTTCTATTCATATTCCTTCAATATTAAGACTAATCGTATCCTTGTTAACCTTTAGTCTTACTTATATCTAGATTAATTATTGCGTTCATTAATCCTATTTTCTTTGTTGCAACTCATTGTCTTCCATAGCTGACATCTCTCCTTGCAAGACATTTTACTTTTCTTTCACTTGCAGCAAATAGACACAACGAGAGGTCCATTGGCAATTCTACTTCAACGATTTCGCTTGCATGAAGAACTTTTTTTTATGATTTTCTAAACGATTGAGTCCTCATTTGCACTTTTTTTCTCTCTTCATCTAATGTATTAGGTTTATCCAATCAATACTCCAAAAAAAAAAAAACAATAAGACTACCTACCACTTAAAATCTTGTGGGCTCTATTTTACTTTGTTCAACTACATGAGTGCAAATGGGTCAAAAAATCGCTTGGTAAATGACGTATTCCATTATAGAGAAAATAATACAACACTAAGACAATAATGTAGATGGAATAGGATGAGCTTTTTATGAATAAAACCACAATTAGTTGAAAATCTCCCCAGTTATGACATGGGTGTCCTGAATTCGAGTCAGTTCTACATTCAGGTTAAAGCTGCATCCATCTGATACTCCTCAGCCCTGCAATGACAGGATCTTGATGTACTAAACTATCTTTTGTGTGTGTGTGTGTGTGTGAGCCATGTATCAACATGCAAAGAATCGGAGATATCAACAATTTGTGGAACCCAAATGACTATAGCAAAAAAGCTTCATAGACTTGCCAAATCCTTCAATAAAATTTAAAGTTAGACAGAAATGCAAGGAAAACCTATGACAAAGTAGGACTTATTACACAAGCAAACGAACAAAGGATAGCATTTTTGTAACAGACTAGGCCCCAGATTGTACTCAGCAAAGCTTATTTGGGGTCAAGGTTGCACTCAGCAATCATTTCCCAAGATTTAAGTGTTTTGTCTTCGGTGTCTGTTTTATACAGTGCAAGGCGAGGTATGTTGAATCTCACGCTGCCAATGCCTTCATCAAGAATGTTAGCTTTCTCTTGAGCGTTCTTCTTCTCTTCGTCTGTCAAATCTCCGTAAAGGAGGCTCAAATGTGGCATATAAGCTGCCAAACCATAACAGTATTCATCAACAGAACATAAAACTCAGTTTCAATATGAAATGCATGGAAATTTGAGAGAAAGAACAAGCTAAGAAAATGTTTGTCAGCAGAGAAACTAAATTTACAGATTTAGTGATCAAGATGCTTAAAACTGTCATAAAAATCAACCTTTGGGTATTGCCCACAAGTTCTCCGAGGATGCAGCCAGGAACTTAGGTTTTGGAGTGTTCAACGCAAAAAAGATTACAGGATAAATTGGAACCTTATAGATTAGATACAATGTAAATGTACTATTTTATATCAAAAAAGTAAATTGAATAAATCATGAATGAAAGCAACTTCATCATTACAAATGGAGAGAAATACAAATGGGAAATGAGCCCATATTCTACACCAAAAACTTGGGCTAACAAAATTTTATCAGAAAAATCTTACGACTAGAGTGGTGCTCAACGTTATTTAATAATGTCGTAAAATTATCAATGATCGGATCAATACCTAATCTTTTAGAAATTCTATCTCAATGTATGTAATCATGTATTCTCCAAGTTACCAATCACATCTTGTTGCGAAACTAGGTTTTGACAATTTCATGACTGAAACAGCAAATTTACTTTAGCTAGTGAAACAGGAAGAGTAAAAAGAAGATGGATCAATCTCAAAAGATGAAAGGAATTGGGAAAGCCAACACACACATTGAGATTTCTTTCTAAAACCTAGCTTTGCGAGTTGCCTTTCCTTTGTCATTGGCTATTGAGTGTGTACTGTGAACTCCGCATCCCTCTCTCTCTCTCTCTCTCCCCCCTTAATTGACTGACTAATGAGTGTTTCTCCAATTGCAGAAAGAAAGCTGATTGGCAATCTTAAAGGTATCAATAGAATTCCCAAAGTCCTTATAAAAACTAATAACAAGTTGATTGGATATCCTAAGGTATCAATTGAATACCAGTTTTTTTTTTCTTTCTTTCTTAATTTCTAAAAACTCATCACTAGTCAATACTAATATTTCAAAAAAACTTGAGATTTTATATGATTGAAATGATTATTTGTTTTAGTTTAATTGGTTGTTATGCATTGGCATGTATATTGATTTTGGCCAGAGGGGTGGCAGTGGGTGGGAGGAGAGGGAGGGGGCACCAATTTGTTTTAATAGAATTCACTCCAAAACATATACAAAAATAAGGCACTATTCTGGAGCATAGGTGGCCACACCTTGTGTCTTTGTCCCTGCTCAAAGGAGAAAATCAGGAGAGCAACATTAGGCCTACAGTCTATGTTGGTGTTAATGGATAACTTATTTAGATTGCAGGTTTATCATCTCCCTGCATGGTTCCTTTCAGACTTTGTGTTTTCCATTAGAAATCGTCCCAAGTTCTGATCATCATAAGGGTAGCTTCTGTTTACCATTTCCTCCAAAAAATATGTCAATCTGGTGTAGATTCCCGAACGTCTTAGTGATGAGAATCATATTGTCTTCCATTATAGTGGATGTATGTGTAGAGTCTAGGACTTATTTGTCATTTTACTCTAGGGGACCCATTTGACATTTGGTTATCCTATTCTCTTCTTCTCTTCCCCTTCTTCATCTATGTCCCTTCCCTAATTCCCTTCCCAGTCTACATCAGATCGGTATCAGAGCAACCTTTGGTCCACATCACTTGGATCATACACTACTTCTCAAGTTTAAGAAACTTGAATAAAATATAGACCACAAAGTTTCCCCAAAAATCATCATTCTTCCTCCGATTTTTTATATTCTTTCGAACTTTGGTCTGTATATACTACAAACCATGTTGCCACTTGCCACCATAAACTACCCTGTTTAACTCATGATATGTACCCAATTGAACCTTTTCAATGAAATCATTCCTTCAGTGTTCAGCCAAACGATTGCTAATTCTTGAATGCAACAGTGAGAAGTACCACCAACACCCATTAGTTTCAAGGAACAAAATAGCAACCCATTTTCAAAGCAGCAAACAAATTTTAAACAAAGTTTTGCTGAGGCGTCATCCCATCGCCTATTTCTCGTTCTTGCTCGGGAGATACTGAGTACTCATGCATAGCCACTTATGTGCAGACATACACATACACTTTTGGGGTAAATAAACCAAATATAATCTCTTCCTCAGTTTACCAGTTCTGGCTCCAGCTCTTTTGCCATTAACCATGTAAAAAGAATCGGTCTTTAGATTTTACACAACAATTACTGACTTTAAATTTACATTTACCTAGAACCACAAGGATATCTGACAGCAATAGAACATCCTAAAAAAATTAAGCTTTTTCTTTTTTTTTTTGGGTTTTGGTTGGTGTTATATAAAAAACTAGGTAAATAATTTCAATCAATCTTCAAAAGTGGCAAAAGATTAAAGTCATAGAAGATCAAACAACTAGAGAAATAGGGTCTAAACTTACGTGAGGAGTTCTTGTAACCAAAATGACTGCTGCAGTGTGCACTGGTCTCTACCACCTGAAAAAATAAAATTGCACATCACCAGTTTATACCATTTGTGTAAAAGAAACCTCCATGAATGACAAAGCAGAAAAAGATTCAGACATTGAGGGCCAACAATTCGAGTGTCAATCGTGACATATCGTGTTAATTATGTGTCATGTTATTTCAAATTATCGTACTTTTTTTGTTTTTGGTTTCAGGGTGTCCGAATTTATACCGACTACTTTCTCAAGATAAACAGGCGTTGCTTGAGCTTGGTTATAGCAGGTCCATGGAGAACAAACAAGGGTGACCGGCCCTTTTGGAGTGTGTGAAGAAATTAAAACCTTTGAGTTACAAAGACCAATCTCAGACCTTTGAGTTATTATAAAGATCAACCTCAACCAAACCACTGAATCATGCGAAGGGTTTTAATTTATATTCTCATACTTAGAATGGTATCATTTCGGATAGGGGTGCAACTTGGGTTGGGCAACCCGATTTCAACCCGAGCCCAACCCGAAAAAATTAGGACTTGGGCAAGGGTTTTTAATACTTGGGTCAGAAAACCCCAACCCAAATTTAATTTGGGTTGGGCTTGGGTTAGAAAATCCTAACCCGATTTTAACCCGAACCCGACAATTTTAAAAAAAAATTATATATATATATATATAAAGCATTAGCACTAATGTTTCATTTTTGTTCTATCGTTTTCTGTTTCTCTTGTTCATTTTCATTTTTTTTCTAGCATTAGCACTGTTAAAACTTTGTTAAAGTTATTGGTTGTTAATTTAGGTAAATATTATGTAATATATGTATTAGGTTTAGAACAACAAGCATATTTTGGGCTCTACCCGAACTCAACCCGAATTGAACCTGTAAAGTAATCCGAAATTAGCTCGAAATCATTAACCCGAATTCAACCCGAGCCCGTCCAAATTAAACTCGGTAAGTATTCGGGTTGAGTTCTTCAACCCGAGGTAGGATTAGAGTTAGGGTTAGAGTTAGGATTAGGGTTGAAGATTATATACCTAGGGTTGGGCTATGATTGACTATCCAACCCGTCCGAGTTGCACCCCTAATTTCGGATCGTTTTAATAACCAACTATTTAATGCTAAAAAAATTCATGATTAATCAATAAAAAAATAAAAAATTTTGATTTTCTTCTTAAAATACCATCTAAATAAGTTAATCGATTCTAACACTAATTATTCTTGTTAATTTGCCAGATTTTTTCCCATTTTGTATAATGTCAATTTAGTATCGTATTCGTGTACCATAGTTAAAAGCTAAAACATATAAAGAAAATCCTTGATAGACAAAAAAAAAAATTAAATTAAATTATATCTCCAAATTAAAAGATAGTAAATTGCAAAATCCACCCCCAGAAAATTACCTCGGCCGTTGGATCCAGTAAAAGAAAAACACACTGATAAAAGAAAGTCCCAGTCGCCACTCTCTCCACAGTAGCTGAATAAGCCTTCAATCCCTCGCACGCCTTCCTAAACTTGTCACGTGCATCCCCCTCCGTCAAACTAATCGCTCCGACGACGGTCACGTGAGGCTCGAACTCCGGCCCTCCGAACTCCGATCTGAGACCCTCCATCAACTTCTTCAGTCTCGGCCTTAGGTCCTCCGGTGGAAGCGCCCACACCGAATAAACATGTGTATTGACCTGTTCTGATTCACTCACTTGTACCTCTTGATCAACTTCCATTGAGATTGAGAAGAGAAACAGAGAAAATCCCAGAATTCCGAGAAACCCAAGAAATCTAATGAAGAAAATGTGAAGAGACATTCATGGAAAGAGATAGAGAGAGAAGGAATTGAGAAGAACCCATGTTTGAAGGTTTGATTTGAAAATATATTTTCCGGATATTTTTTTCCAAATAATTTTTTAGTGATTTCTTGTGAGGAAGGTAAGATTTGGGAAGAATTGGAGGATCAAGAGCTGAGTGAGCTGTGCTTGAGATTTAAAAAAGGCAGAGGATGGATATGAAACTGGTATAGGCATATCCGAGGGGTGGGATTGGCTGCGTGCTAAGGCGTACTGTTCTTGCATGTCGATTATTGATCCTGACCGTTACTCTCACGCAAAAGTCATCTCATTTTCGAGCCAAAAATTTAACCAACGATCTAATTCAATCTTAGTTGTGAGTTTTAAAATTATATAGAGTTTCATTTTAATTTAATATTTATAATTAATTAAGTTCATAAATTAAAATCACCTTATTAACTCCAAACTATAAAATACAAATGCTCACCTTATTAACTCCAAATTATAAAGTACAAATACTCCTCGGAGGGATGTGTTAGATTGGTGTTTGAGATGAATCAAAGTATCTTAAATAGAGAAGTCAGTCAAACACGATTAGGATATGATCAAGACACGGCTAAGACAAGACCAATATATGATGAAAATTTTTTATTTTTTTAAACTCTCGTAATGGTTAATTATTTAGAAGAGTGTAGAATTATTTTATTTTATTTTATTTTTTATTATGTAACTTATGAATTATTAATGTTGATCGATGTATTGATGAAAATGGTGAATTTTTATTTTGATCTATTTTAATTTTAATCAAAAATTAATATTTATTAGATTTTATTATTATAAAATATGCTTTGTTTTTAATATATTACAATTCTATTATTATCTAAAATAATATATAATATTATTTTAATTAATTATATGTTTACTATAAACATGTCTTGTATTTTCAAATTTTGTACAATTCTTGTAATCATATCGTATCGAACACGGTGCGTGTGTCCATATTTGCACTTCTTGGAATCAAATAACATTTTTCCTCATCAAAGAGTGTCGAGTAATGGGTGTTACTTAAAATTCAATTCAAATTATTTATTATTTTTATTAATTTATAGATAATAAATTCCATTTAAATTTATAATAAATATTTTACAATTGAAGAAAACACAACCCTTACTTAGAATATAAATAATATATAAAATTGAAAAACCATTCTCAGATTTATTTTAAAATTTCGATGATCACAAAACCAATTATCTAAAAATAAAAATATTAAATAAAAAAATCATTAATATCATGCATTGTCGTCAATAGATGGACAACGGATTTAGATTTCATTCGATAGTATTACCTTCTACTATTCTAATGATAACAGTGCATTATATTCTGATAGAGTTAGATAATTAAAAAAATATATAATAGTGCTACCGGAATAAAAATGTTCCACTTGACCATGTTTCCATCACGGTAATGTTACATTAATCAAATTTAGAGCTCAAATGACATGACAGTTGAGTTGGACTTTTTTATTTGGTGTCATGTCATTTGGGGTCTTATAAAGACTCTAAATAATATGTTGTCATGTCATTTAGACTCTAAATTTAGTCCAAAAATTTAATCAACGTAACATTACTGTTTCATCCATTACTCCCGATCGAAAAGTGGAACAACACGTGGTGGGTGGCCATAGATTGCTCTGCACATTTACATTTAAAAAAGAATTGATTTTGCTCACTTATTAACCTAATGGACTTTTTGTGTCGCCTGCTCTTGTTGAGAATGTGTGACAATCGTTGGTGATGTGTTGCAAGCACAAAGTGTCACGACCAGGATGACCACAACTAAAACTTTAGTACATGATTCATTGCTTTTGTTTACCAATGAAAAGATGTCGTCAATTTTTGCATCAATCTTTATTAATCTACTAAGTTTGAGTTCTATTTTCTTTAGAATGAAAGAATCCAAAAACACAATTGGTGAACCCTTGCATTTACAAAAATGAAAGATGCGTAAAACTCAATTGATAACTCGGGCAAACGAAACATAGTACCATAGTATTTCATAGTATCTTAGTGTTGGCCACTACAATTGATTGTTGGAACTTTTTCACATAAACCCAATGTCGCTTGACAAAAAAAAATCTGCTAACTTTGATCCATCAAAGCTCAATTTAATTCTTGGGACTTTGGGTTATGTTCTCGTAGTGAAATAAATAAAATAGAAGATTGTCCTAGTTCCGGCTAATTGGGGATTCTACAATAAACAGATATGTTTTTCATCTCTTGAGAACAAACCGTTGTTACCCATGAAACTATCACAAAAATACGATAAATACATACAGCTTGAAATTTTACTGAACATACCAAATTAAACAATGCCTCCATGGCTACTTTAACATGATGTAACACCCACAAAACATACCAACTTATACACATACATGTCATGCTTCTACCTGCAACCCTAGAGTAATAAAATTTTCTTCCACCAAACTGCATGTTCATGGAAATGGTGTCCTTTGTCCTATCTCGGTCGGGGCTTGATATCGATGGTGAAACACTTCCCATCCTCTAGCCCGCTTGTGTGGATTCGAATCCGTGGGGCAAAACCCTTTTAAAAAGTTGAAATTTGACAAGAAATTTTAGCAAGCATAACAAACTTGACTCAATTTACACCCAACATTTATCCGATAAATTCAGAGTTTACTGTACATACAAAACTGGATGACTGTGCCCCAATACTACTTTTAACACAAGATTTAACACCACATTAACATACATACACATAAATACAATATGGCATGCTTCTACCTGCCAACCCAAGATGATGACAATGTTCTTCACCAAATTGAATGTTCATGGAAAGGGTGCCCCTGTTTTCATCTCGGTCGGCTCAATATCAATGGCGAAACCCTTTCCATCCTGTTTCCAGTAGTCTGCATTCGGATTGATCCATTCTGGCTCTGGAATCTCCACCCTGGAAATCTTCAGATTATCACTTGATATATTGTACTTCTCATCCCTCTTTTTTACCAGATCTGGAGTGATAATGCCCCAGTTCACTGGTTGTGGGGACATCATCAGTGCTGGTGCACCCATGGGCAACCTATCACCTGCAAATGACCACATCAGCTATTCATGTCGTGTTTTTCTGGGTTCATGTCGTGTTCTTTTGGGTTCATCTTCTTCTTGTTCATGTCACTCTTGTATTATCCATGAACAAGAAAATCTCAAAAACTAAAGTTAACTTTTTTCTCAAATAAATCCACGACAAAGATTTGCATATACAATTTTATTTGATCTACGTCCTCATAAAATCAAATCAAAAACAAAATAACACTACCTAAACCACACCTTTTTTTTTTTTGACATGCACTTAGCTATAGCCAAATAGTTCTAGACACCAACTCAGATTTATATTTCATTAATTACTGCTGAGTGGTTGTCATTTTTCGAAGAATAATACTATTGAGACATAAAAAATTAACCTAATAATGTGACAGTGGAATGATCCAATAATGTTAGTGACTATAACTCTTAAACTTTTTCTTTGGGACGCTATATAACTTAATGTCAGAAAATTAGGTCAATTTTTGAAGTCTCACAAACATTACTCTTTTTCGAATTCTATTACATGTGTGTTTGTCACGTGTCAAAAATTATGTCGCATGTATTCAAAATTTTATTAAGATTTTTATAAGAGTTATGTTACATGGATTTAAAAATTAGATTTGATAATCTCAATCATTGAATAGATAGTGAATCCTAATAAATATTGAGACCCACAATAAAATCAATGATTGAGATTATCAAGTCTAATTTTTAAGTCCACGTAATATTGCTCATTTTATAATTCCTAATTTTGATTAAGAATCACGAGTCGTTAGAGCTGAGTACCCGAACCAAGAAATTCCTTACTCTTTCTCTTAATAACACATTTCAAATACAATAGTCCAGTTAATTAGTTAAGACAGGATTTCTTAGTACCGAATAAGAAGTGACGGGTTAATCTTCAAAAGTTTCATTGGAAATGTGATACTCTTACAAGCTTACCTCTGTCAACTTGCCAAGTGCACCAGAATTTGCCATAGGTTTTGGCAAGATTTTCAAGCTCAGGCTTCACGACCGTCTCGGGAACTCTCGGATATACCCAGAGACCTGATTTTATCTGAACAACCGAATGTTTTCATAGTGAGACATGGATAGTTATTTCATTACTAACAGTCATATATAGGTGGGCTAATAGTAAGACTGTAAGAGCCTCCACCAAAAGAAAAGGATTAATCAAGAGAAGGGTAGAACCTCATAAGCATGAGAATGCCAGAGCTTCTGCTCCTCCGGTGATAACTTCTCAAAGATGCGATCAGATACTATATATTCCACGCCTGCAAATAATGATCAAAATAACAGACCAGATCAACCCCAAGACGCCAATAACAGCATCATATCATTAGTAGGGTTGGTAATGGATCGAGCTATATCCATGTCTCTGTCATGTCATATAAAAAATAACATAATTTAAGGATATTATTTAAAATTTTAATGATTATGATGTGAGCTCCAACATTAAATACACTCCACTAGCTGGGTTCGTGTTGGGTTGAATTCTTCCCTTGAGCGATGGGTCTACCATATGTCACCTAGTTGAATTCAAACGGATTTAATCAGCTTACAATTCATCGCCTCGACCCATTAAGAATTAAGCTCAAACCATTAATTCCCGATTAATTTACGTTGAATTCGGGGATTCTTTTCTAAGTTATTTTAGTTTGATCATCAACCCCTCCCTCCAATAGATATTGAGATGTTATCAACCCCTCTTTAAGTTATTTGGCAATTGCTTGAAGTCCGGCCGACTTCAAGTCGGGAAGACCTTAATCTAAGGTGGACAACATGTTTTTAACTATGAAAAATCGGACCAGACCAAATAACAGATTAGTCAATGCGAACAAGTTAATCGAGTCACCCCTAACTATAAGAAAAAAAATAGATATCGTGATGTTGAAGCATATTAATACTTATGTTACGCTCGAGTAAATGAGTTAATAGCCATGCAGCAAGGTTATTCATTTCTTAGGGGGAAGGGGGGGGGGGGGGGGTAAGTTACCGATTAGACGGCCGGTGGAGTCGTGGGTGTCGTAAACTGCACACTGGAGGAAGTCCTGGTTGATCCGAGTCACGTAATGGTGAGTCTCAATCTGGCGGGTCATGTCATGGCCATACAAGGCAAAAGTGCACACATGCTGGTTTATCTGTTTCACAGGCTTCAGAGACTGCAATATCTGAGCTCCTTTGTCCAGCAACTGCTGTTCCACCGACATCGGCTTCCCCGGCAGAATCTGCTCGCCTCCGGCCAGCGAAGGAGCTGGTGTTTTATCCGATGAAGCCATAAAAAAGTTGATGTATTGGTCTTGCCTCTCTTGATCTTTGTAAGTTTTGTCAGTTTTTTTTAGGGTTTTGAGACGAGGGAGATTAGGGAGAGGTTTGTATTATATGGAGGTGGTGTGAATGTAGGAGGTGGGTGATCGTAAAGGTCCACGTATAGAAATGCATAGGGTTGAGGTGTCTGATTTTACTGCCACTTTGGCCAGATGGCTAATATCTTGATGATGAAGTTATCTGCTGAGGACACGTTCAAGAGTTGTCTCTCTCTTTTTTTTTTTTTTTGTTATTCGAGCATAATTTATTAATCTAATTGATTATGAATTTTGTATTAACTGTGAATTCTATTAAATATTAAAATTTAGTGTTAATTCAATAATTTTAATTGATAAGGGCAAAATTTTAGACTGAGCCGTCATAATCTTGGAGCCCAATAAATCTAGAAGACCTCGCTTGTTTATTAACCCAAAGAGAAAACCTCCGAACAACCCACGCCCAAGAGTAGAGAGGGCTGAAAAGAGAGAGTCCAACAGCACCAAAGGATCAGTAGTGCCGAAAGATAGCAACTGTTGCAGGACAGTGATAGAGGACCTCACAGAATTAACAGAAAGGTAGAGGGAGCCACCGATAACCCTAGAAGGAAGGACTGGTATAAATAGAACAGTGTAAACCTACCAGAATAAACTTTCCTATTGTATTTCTCAACCCTAAATACACAACGAACTAAGCATAAGCCCTCGTAAAAGCTCAATGCCAACAATCTGAACATACTCACCTGATCTCAATATACGACCTTAAGGTGCAAAAAGCTCCATTATAGTGGACGTAGTCTCAATCTTTCAATTAAGGTAAATCACTTATACTCTGTGTCTTCCATTGTTCATAAGTCAACTTCAAACCCGATTAGACTCACAAATCCAAATAGCAACTCATCGATTGGACTTGGGCTATTATTTCAAAGACACTATCACTAATAAAGTCACATCATTAAATCAATAAATTAAGTCAAATTTTTAGATTTAAATAGTATTAATCTTTCAGTAATACTATTTAAACCTAAAAATCTAACATAATTTGCTGACATAATGATGTGACTTAATAGGAATTATTGAATCAACACTAATTTTCAATGTTTGATGAAGTCTATAACTAATTCAAAGGTTACAGTGAATTAAGTCAATAAATTATGTCATATTTTTAGATCTCAATAACATTGCTCTTAATCTTTTGGTATTAGTTCAAGAGGTGCTAGCGAATGAGATCCATTATAGTTTTATTTTATTGAATTAAGGGAAAATATAATAAAAAATTTCTTAATCCATAGCATATGCCACATTGAGTTGGATAATTGTGGACACTAATTTAAATGCTTAATTATTTTGAAATCCTACAACGATCAACATAGATTTTCTAATCCTTTTCTTTTAATGCTTTGACTCTCAGGTTTTTCCCGCTTCTCAAAGTAGGTTCCTCTTTTCTTTTTAATGCTTTAACCTGAGGCACTGTGGATGCCAATTATCTCTACACAAATCGAGAAATTTTTCAATGGATCTAACATATCACGTGACAGTGTCATATGGTATACATTATTAATAAAAAATTTACATGTCCAATGAATATTCCACAAGTTTTTTTTTTTTGAAAACTTTTTATTGAGTGGACACACGACATAACACTACCACGTGGTTAGTATCTTCACCATTCCCATAATTTCTTGCCTTTTGCATTGTATTTTTTGAAATGGGTATGTTGTAATGGTAGTACCGAAATTTTATCACTTTTTTAGGTTAAAGTACAATTTTTAGGGTCAAATTTGTATTTTGAAAAAATAATTTAGTTCAACCATAAATATTAACCCTAAAATTTTTTGTGGAATCAATTCCAAAGATATTAAAATCGATCCCAAATAATCATTGTGGAGTAACTTGATTGAATTGAGTTATAAATCACTTCCTAATTTGCAGTAACTTCGATATAGTACTGAAAAAACTCTTTGGAGAAACCACTGAAACCTTATAACTGTGTGCTTGCAAACGGAATAAGCAAGAAATAATATCCTTATTAAGTAGTTGAAGAAATCATAAACAAACTGCAAGGTTTAACAAGAGAAGATAACACGACTCTTTTAAGATATTATCTCTGTCCGCTCTATGTCAATAGCAAAACCCTTGCCAGTCTCCTTCCAATAGTCTGCATTGGGATGTATCAACTCCGGTACTTCAATAGAGATTCTTGACATTCTCAGATCATCTGTCGGTATCTTGTACTTCTCATCTCTCTTTTGAACTAGCTCTGGCTTGACGGCGCCAACGTTCACCCCTTGTGGAGACATCATTAGTGCAGGGGCACCTAGTGGAAGCTTGTCACCTAATTCACAGAATCACATCAAAACCCACAATTAATTCTGAGGCTATTCATGCAGGGTTTCAACATACATCCACTGCATGCACAGTCAATTGCATAGCCATTTGGAAAAATAATCGGCTTTAGAGATGCATTTAATCCAAGGGGTGTCGTTAAAGTTACGCATACTTACAAGGTGAGCGCTTTTTTAAGTTATACGAACCTAAGTCAAAACAGAAGACCGAGTACATTGCATAGGAACAAGGTTGGCATGCAACAAATTTGGTATTAGATTGAAACCTACGTCGAGATCGTGGAGTAGATCCTATGTCGAGATTGTGAGGTGCATACTGCATAGGCTCCATCCCACATCACCATATAAAGGGTGTGGAGACCATCGGAGAACTGAAATCATTGGACCTTTTATTTAGATTAGTTAGTGTACACCTGCAATGCATGGAACTGTTTTGAGTACCAAACAATATATTATGGTTTTTGATAAAGATGAAATTTTGTGAATGGGCCGCCGTGGCCTATGAGTCCAATACACCTTGAGAATTCAAAGGCAGAGCATATTAACCCAAACCCAAAGAGGAGCCTCTGTTTAGCCCACATTAGGAGTAGCAAGGGTAAAAGTCCAATGGCTCCAGAGGGCCAGTAGTCAAGCCCTAGCCCAGTCCAATACCAGCCGAAGGACCATCCGAGAAAGAGGAGTCAAGTCTTGGCACTAGAAGCATCCCTCCATGCCACGCGTCCAAAAGACAAGGGGACCATCTCTGAAACATATGGCAATTACACCCTCTCGGGCGCAGAGGATGGTGGAGCGTAACGATCCAAAGATCGTGGCCACAGTAGCACCGGCTAACCGAGGCTTTTGCAAGATAAGGACGAGAGGTCCCCACAGGATGAACAAAAAGATAGAAGGAGCCACCAAAAACTCTAAGAAGAATTAATATAAATAGAACAGTGTAAACCTACTAGCAGGAGCTTCTTCTTCTCCCCCCCAAGAGATTCCCCAGCCCTAGATACAGAACAAGCAAAGCTTAAACCCCTGTAAAGGCTCAATGCCAACGATCCCAATATACTCATCTGATTCTAATACATGATCGTACGGAGCAAGAGACTCTATTATAGGTGGATGTAACATTGGTCTTTCGACTAAAGTGAACCACTTATATTTTGAGTCATCCATTATTTATAAATCAACCACACATCCGATCGAACTCACTGAGCCATGTAATAATTTGTTAATCGGGCTTGAACCATTATTTCCGAGACATAGTTGTTAGTATCATATGATACGCGATACGTATCGTACGATATGTCACAACACAGGGCTAAAACGATACGGATCATAGTTTTATATCATTTTTGCATTGTATCGTCTGATACACCATACATTTTTACGATACGCACGATATGTGCAAATACTGTTTTTTTTTTTTTGATGGAACGACATAGTCAGTGGCTAGAGTTTATAAAAAAAATAAAAATACCTCTTTTCCTTCTTCGTTGGTCTGGTCTTCGACTCGTGGCCTGGGTGTTCACTGGTCTGGTCTTCGACTCCTGGCTTGGGTGTTCGCTGGTCTGGTCTTTCACTCCTAGCCTGGGTGTTCTTCATCCTTCGATGACGACTTCTGGGTGTTTTTTGTTCTTCCATCGAAACTACCTCTCTATTCATCTATCGAAGCTGCCTTCTTCTTCTTCTTCTTCTTCTTCTTTCTCTCTCTCTCTCTCTCTCTCTCTGTGGCACCGACATTGCCCATCGCCATCGCCTCTTCTCTCTCTCTGTGTTTGTTCGTGGGTTTTACAGACGATTGTGCAAATTTTTTTTTTTTTTTTGTTATAAGAAAGAACAATTACATTTACTACCCCATTACATTATAACTTTTTATTTTAAGTATACATAAGTACCATTAATTTAATTTGATACCCTTAATTATTTTTTTAATATTAAAAAATTGTATTGGTGACTTGAATAGTAGGTGGAATATTTATGAAATATTATGGTTTTATGAGTCTATGATTTTTTTTCAAAAGCATATATATTTTATTATTAATTATTTAAAATTGTACCGTATTTTACGATACACGATACGATACGATACACTATTTTTAAAAAATGATACACCTTCCGATTTACGATTTGATAACTATGTTCTGAGACCTCATCAATTTTAAAAATTACAAAAGTAATCTGATCAATAAAAAAGTTAACTAATTATTAGCAGTGATTCATAAGGCAAAATGAGAAATCCGGATACACAACGGTTTTAAGTTTCAATCCGTAATGGAATAATTATTTTAAAATTTTAATTAGTTATTATTAGTTGAAGGATTGTTTATCTAAAAATCATAAAGTAAAGATTTACTACTGAAATAAGAATATTGACTCTAAAAGTCAAAAAGTTAATCACTTACTACAAGAGTGAGAATATTTAGTGTGGAGTACAATAATTTATTCAGTTATTACTTCTTAAAAGAAAAAAAAAATCATGTTTTGATAGTAATTAGTGTTAAAAAGGAAATTAGAGGTTATAAAAATGATCCCATTTTTGAAAAATATCTAGTGTCTATAAATGAAATTTTATTTATAGGATTAATTAAGGTCAAAATAGGAAAACAAAAAAAAATTCATGAGAAATTTATTAATAGTATTGATTATATTTTAAAGTCATACAGATCTAACTCACTCAAAATAGACAATATTATACAATTATACAACATTGAGATGGATCGTGATAATTAATCCCCAAGACTTACTATAGATTAGGCCCTTTTATTATGTCCACTTATTTACAAATGGCAAACTTGCAACCCTACAACTTCGACTTATGGCGTCAAAAAATAAATAAGTGACTAAGATTATCGAAAGTTTCTACTTATTCTTGAACGCACAAGAAAAAGTCGAGGTTAACTTTCTAAAGTTAAGAGTGAGAAAAGAATCTTAGTCATCGGTGACCGAATTTCATAACAGTACCTTTGGGAGATAGTTGATCGAGAAACTAACTCACTTAAAATAAAAAAATCCCATCCTTATAAAATGTTGAGATAAACAAATTGATTAATAGACAAGGTGATATGGATTACCTCTATCAACTTGCCATGTGCACCAGAACTTGCCATAAGTTCTAACAAGATCTTGGAGTTCAATCCTCTGAATCAACTCTGGAACACGTGGATTTACCCAAAGGCCTGATGAGATCTGGAACCCCAGAAATTATCACAATTATACGATGTTATTCCAAAAAAGAGCATTTCGCACTTTTTACCCTGAAATTTTAAATTTTTTATTTTATACCCTCAAAAATTAAAATTTTCACACCACACCCTATCAAAATTATTGCAATGTAGGCTTTGTTAGTTTACGTTATTTTATTTTTTTTTCTATCAAAAGACAACTCATTGACATTAACAGAAAAATTAATAGAAAGTTAACAAAATAATCACATTATAATACTTTTGACATATTGAGAATATAATATGAGAAATTTAATTTTTGAGGTTATAAAAAGAAAAACTTGAAATTTTTTAGAGTACAAAGTACAATTCACTCTTCCAAAAATTTTTAAAAAAAACTTGAAGAATACCAGTAGAAATGGTGGATAGGAAAACAGGAATGCAAACCTCGTAAGCATGGGAATGCCAGAGCTTCTGCTCCTCGGGTGGTAGAGTTTCAAAGATTTTGTCTGATACTATGTACTCCACTCCTGAAATATATTACCCAAACTTTTGAGCCGTGAGCCGAGAGAGGCGTTTGCTTTGTACCCAAACACACTCGTTAGTTTATTATTTTCATGGTTAGTGCTAGAAATGAAGCTCATAGTAAAGCCTTTAATCAAATATGACTGTCATCAATTGAAAAAAAAAACTCCACTATTGATATTTTTGTGTTAGCACACACATCGAATGGTCTGTTTTTGACTAAATCAAAAAAAAAATTAATCAAAATGTATATAAATATATGTAAATTAATTTGAATACTTTGATTATTAAAAAAAATAATAATTTCACAAACAATATCAATTAATTAAGAATGTATAATATTTTATGAGTGATGTACGTCACATAATACTGTGGCGGGGATGAGGATTGAGCACACAATATGAAGTGAAGTTAGTCACCAATAAGACGGCCGGCGGAGTCGTCGGAATCGTAAACGGCACACTGGAGGAAGTCCTGGCTGATCCGAGTCACGTAGTGGTGAGTCTCGATCTGGCGAGTCATGTCATGGCTGTACAAAGCAAATGTGCAAACATGCTGGCTCATCTTCTTTATGGGCTTCAGTGACTGCATCATCTGAGCTCCTTTGTCCAGCATTTGCTGCCCCATCGTCATCGGCTTCCCCGGCGGCACCGACCCATCTCCCGGCGGCATCGGTCCTGGAGTTTTATCACTCGAAGACATTATACAAACGTCGGTGATCCAGTGTTCTCTCCCTCTCTCCCTCTCTCCTGTTGGGTTATAGGTGAAAAGTGTAACGTGGGGAGGTATTTGGTTGCCACGTATACTTGCATGGATTGTGAGGTGGTTGATATTACTAACAAGCTGTTGCCAGGTGGCCTGATATTAAGGGCATTGGAGCTGCTGGAAAGATATTTTTATTAGAAAGAAAATATTATTTAGATTTAATACGATAATCCAACTAATTGTAGTTAGTTGGTTACATTTAATTTTTTCAAGATTATGTCAATCGAAAGATCAAGGGATTAATCTTTTACAATGTCAAAGATTGTTTTTCTATTGGTTATTGACGTAATTCACTATAGTTATTAAATTGACTGTTGATCCTATTAAATATTAAAATTTTATATTAATTTAACAATTAAAATAAAATTACATCATTAAGTTAACAAATTATGTTAAAATTTTAACTTTCAATAACACTACTCATAATAAGAACAAGACTATAGTCATAATAAAAAGAGTAATGTTAGTCATTGGATTGACCGTAGACCTTATTAAACATTGAAATTTTGTGTTTATTCAATAGCTACAATAAAAACATATTATCAAGTCAGTCAGCAGATTAGATTAGATTTTTAAATATAAATAACATTATTCTAAATAAAATGAAAGAGACCAATAAAAATCGCATAATCTTTTAATCGTGTTAAATTCTCCCTTTTTCTTTCTCTGGCCATGAACTACAATTTTTAAGTTGGTTCAAGAAAAAGGAAGGAGGGGGGGGGGGGGGGGGAGTGGGGGGCATGGATCCCAAACCATAGTTTTAAAATCCGGCTCGGACATCAATTCGGAGAAGAGACCGGGTCAATGAATTTCTGGTTTAACCACTGGGTCACTGGTCGAACCGGTGATATAATAAAAAAATAAAAAATAATTATTAATGATGATAAATAGACTAAAAAATTAAAATAGTTATAAAAATAACATGTTTAATATATATTAAATCAAACAAAGTTATCAAGTCTAAATCACTTAATTGCATTCAATTAACAAACCAATGCATTCAATTAACAGTCAAGCCTCCACCCTCAAACTTGAATCACTTAATTGCATTCACTTAATTTTTGAGTTAATAAACACTGAACGAATGATTTAGGATTTAGGAGAAAATAGAAGGGGAAAAGAAAAAGACACAAAAATGTAAAAAAAAAAAACATATTTATACTAAAGGAACAAACTAGCCGGTTTTGTAAACCCAGTTCGATTTTCGCAGGTTATCGGTTTTTTGACCGGTTCAGCGATTTTATTCCGAGTTCTTTGCTCAAACGATCCAATTACAAAATCGGCCCAATTAGGGGACCGGATCACCGGGTCAACCGTCGGGCCGGGCCGGATTTTAAACACTACCCCAAACCCATGGGTTTGTAGCTTTTGGGGGAGATTTTATATGTCCTGCAATTTTGTGGATGTATGTAAATTATTGAATCACGTAAATATTATCTTATATGTGTAATTATTTTTATTTATCGTGTATTTTTTCTATTTTTATTTCTCACAAATTTAAAATTTTCGTATTAATTTCTTAAGAGCCAGCAATAGAATATACCGATAGATTCAAACAGACGTTGCGAATCACAAAAATAAGCGCCTGTCTGCCAGTGTGGGGATAGATAGGACAGAACTCAGAAATTGGAGCATGTGAAAATCATGACAACGAGTTTAAGGTGATTCCCTTGGTGGGGGTATGCAACTATCCGAGAATTTAAATTTGGACCGATTCCTCCTCTGTCAGAGTCAGATTAAGAGTAAAGTGACGTCGGTGGTTTAATATTTTTGTTCTTAGACATTTTTTCTTTCAACCAGTCAACGATTACGACTGGTGTTGAAATATATGATTTTCTCCGAGATAATAATTAAATTGATAAAATTTGTCATTTATTGGTGTAATATGGGAGGCATATGATATTTATTTAATTAATTATCTCGTTGTCTCTCTATCTCTCTCATTCTTCTCGTCTGTTAATCACTATCTTTGTTTCTCTCCCGTTAATCCTAAATCCCCAAATCTCCATTAAAAATTGGCTCAATTTTGGCCCAAATTCGAAACTCTGGTTCGACTCTGCCAATCGGAATCGGAGTTGGAGACACTGAAAGTCAGAACCGTAGTTGGAGGTCGGAATTCATGGTTCAAAATCTGTTGGAGTCAGTGCCCACCCCTAGTCATATGGTTCGCTTTTTGGATCCCACTTTTTTTTTTTTTTTCACTCTAGCTAGTATAATCCATTTCTTGCAATGCACTTGATTTGCCCGATTCTCGTTAAAGAGCACAAACATTATCACAAAACATAATTTTTTTTTTGTTAAAAAAAAAAGTGAAAAGGGGACATGATAATCTTCATTTCTTCCAACCTCACAAAGTGGCTTCCACTTTCTGGTCGTCATTCACATTCTGTAGCTCATGAACATTAGACCCACTTAAAACCTCAGGGCTCTGAGGCCTGTACTTGTACCTCATAGCAACAATCAAATAAACAAAGAAATTCACCAAGCTCAGTACAGAAAGCATCCAATAGAAGAGATTCAAATGGTTCCTGTTAATATTATTCCCAGCCAACCACCCTCCACTTCTGGTTATTCCCTTGGTGGCACTGTTCACTGTCTTCACCACGACAGTGCTCATGTAATACCCAACTGCCATGGAGCTCCAAAGAAAGCAAGTAGAGATGGATTTTAGGTCTATTGGTGCTTGGGAGTAGAAGAATTCAAGAAGTCCAACATAGGTGAACATATCTGCTATCCCGAATATGAAGTACTGGAATGATAACCAGAAGACACTGATCGGCAATGGCTGGAACATAGGGATGGCATCGAGCATGTTGTGGGTACGAGCAATATTTTTCCGCTTCACCTGGTTGGGATATCACATGTGAGAATTACATATCGAATAAGAAAAAAATTTCGTGTCTTCATTTTCGATCTCGAGCAATTGATATAAAATGTTATCTAAACAAAATAATTTCCACATTACCTCCATTATTGCAGCGGATGCCATGGCCAGGGAAGAGAGAACGAGGCCAACGCCGACACGTTGCAGGTGAGTTATTCCGGTGATGTGGCCTGTAATCTTACGGGCGAAAGGAACGAATACTTGGTCGTAAATGGGGACTAAGAAGACCAGAAAAGCGATGGGGATGATGGGGAGGGAGGCCGGTGGGATTTTAAAAGATTTGGTGATCCTTGTGTCCATGGTGGCACCTTGTTGGACAGAGAAGGTTTGAAGTTGGGCTAGGCAAACTGTCATAAAAAAGGTACAACAGAAAATTGGAACCATTCCTAGTATGACTTTTGCATTTTCTACTTGTGTGACTGTGCAAAGTTTCCATTGATTTGGTGTTTCAAATGGTGTTGGAGATCTCACAATAGCTGCTTTGTCCAGGAACCTGGAGACAATTTTGTCGAGATAGTGTCAGGTAGAGCGATAATAATTGTCATTTGCCCCCCCCCCCCCCCACACACACACACACACACACACAAACGCACGCATTTAAATAATTGAGAGAATTATACTCAGACGTTCTAAAATTTATCATCATTCAGATTCTTAAAGTTTAAAATATTACACACAGTCTCTTAAAGTTTATACGCATGTATCACTTAGACCTCTGTTGTAAATATATCTATTAATAAATTACACTTAAACTCCCATAAAGCTTATGAATATATAATACTTACTCCCTTTAACTTTAAAATATTATACTTAAACAAAAAATATTTACAATCAAAATTTATGTTCTATTATATTTTCTCAAACTGTGTGATCGCTTTGTCTAAATTTGGTTCAGAAACTAGGGCAAAGACAACCTGAAAACATCCCTGTGAGGTAGAAATTTCACTTCTAATGCTGCTTCTTTGTCCTTATTGATCTCATACAGCTCGGCTGAGTCCTCTGGAAGTTGAAGCTTTCTATTACGGATAGCTGCTACATAAACCTGTGTATCACACAAATAAATCAACAAAACCATTGCACATATGTGTATCTAAGTGATGAGTATTAAGGCCGACAATTCAAGACATAACTTGCCAACCTTACGTGAAATCAAAGAAAAATTAGTGGATTTGAAACCGGAATTAAAGTAATATTTATTTTAGCTCCCTATCGCCCGGAAGGAAAGCAACGATTGGAGTGAGAGAGTCAGAGGCGAAAAGAGGACGAGTTTAGTATATTTGAATGGTAAACGGATTGATGCATCAAACTCGCTTAATATATAAGTCGACACAAACGATATATACACGACTCGAACATGTCTATACATGACACGAATTAAAGACTAATGAATATCTCGTAATATCAGAATTATTTGTACCAACCTGTATAATTTCAGTAATAGCACTCCTCCCTTGAACAGAATGTATCCTGTACTGAGGCAATCCAGAAGCAAACATGATTATACCCAAGAACATGGCAAGAGTTGAAAGACCAAGGCCATAATCCCATCCTTTATTATCTTGGATCCACACAAAAATTGTTAAACTAACTACACCTCCAATGCACACAGAGAGTAAGAGCCAATTGAAGAAACTTGACAGTTGTGTTGCCTCTTTTGGGTCTTTTTCATCAAACTGGTCAGCACCATGAGTTGGCAATGCAGCTTTTAATCCTGAGCTTCCAGCAGCAACCAAATATAGAGCAACAAAGAGGATAGCAGAATTTCTTCCACTGACGGGCACAATGAGCATTTGGCTCAAATATGTTGCATAGAGGTGGCTTGAGTTTGGGGTAGTGAGCTTGTAATGCTAGCAATCCAAGTCCCTAAATGAACACTACTATTAGAAAACCATTCTAACATTGTATTTAAAAGGGTAAAATTGTGAAAGATTGAGGCACCGTTTAGTAATCTCTATTAAGTATGAAAAATAGCATTAGTAATTATTGAGAAACACACCAGAAACTCAAGGCAAGCTGAAATAAGAACAGCCTTAAATCTGCCAATATAAGTGTC